CTGGAGTTGGACATTTCTTCATTGGTGGATGAAGCCGATCGACCACAGTCCTCACACTAATTGGATACATCTTTTTCGTTGCTTTTGCAATGTTTGTCTTGATTATTGAAAAGTGTTATCAATAAATTTTCCGTTTATAAAAAAATGTAGTTGTTGAGCAATAAAAGAAATAATACTCTTTTTTGTTTTAATTATTTTTATACCTCACTTTATTTTGTTATTACTTGTAACAAAATTATTATATGGCCCGCGACAACATCAAAGGTTTTATTAAAAGGTATTTCCATTAAACGGTGGTTCTTTTTGTTGTATCTATTTTAAATAAGTACTTCTTACTCAATAGAAATGTAATTTTAATTATTACCAGTGTACTTTTAAATTATTCAATAGATAATACAGTTATCATTTATTTGCTCTCTGCTTTATACAAGAAATATTATCACTTACAATAGTTAATCTGTGATCGTATGTTTCACCGTGCCGACTGTCTTTTAAGGCGGTTGAACGTAAAAGAGAAAGAGAGTCGGTAGAATCAGGGTTAGAGATCAAATGACAAAATGATTTGTTGGTTGAGTTTGAGTTTACCGAAAGTACAAGCTGAAAATAGCCGCAAATGTCAAACATGGAACAAAAAATTTCGGTGTAGCAGTGTTGGCATGTTTTTATAATATAGATTCTGTATGCTTCAAATATAAAAAGATAAAGCTTTATAGAAGTATTTATATTATGTAATAAATTCTGCAATTTTTTATTTATATAAAACAAGAATGAGTAAATATTTGTTTCTTTGGAGATTACTTGCAGTTAATTATTAGAAATTATTTTGGCAATTACCCTTTGATAGATTGGTGGATAGATTTGGCAATCATCAAGTCAGCAGTTGCCAGATTTCAACAGATGTTTACAATTAATCTCGAAAGAGACACATATTTACTTGTTATTGCTTCATATAGATTAAAAATTGCAGAATTTATAAAATAGTATAATCAAAATGTACTTTTTAATAGCTTTGTCTCTTTATAGTTGAAGCATATAATATATGCATTATAAAAACGTCCCAACACTGCCAAACCCAAATATTGTTGACATTTGCGGCTATATTCAGCTTGTACTTTCGGTAAACTCAATCGATTTGTTTTCCCGAAGTTATCGTCCATCCATAGCACACTACCAAGGTTAGTAAAAGGGAGGTTGCATGGTGACTTTGACATTGACAGAATGAAATATGACGTGTGACGTCACCCAGGGTTCAATTTTACGAATTGTCTGTTTTTCTGTTTTTACGAAAACAAATTTTAAAAATCAAAATCAGTGAATTAACACATTTTTACTAAACATTTAAATGGCTATACTTACCATCTTTTTTCAGCTTTTTAGGTTGTATGTTTAATAGTTTAGCTTTTAAAGCATGCTCATAATCTTCTATGCGAAAGTGTATACTACAAACTCTTTTATTAAAACAGGACCACTTATCCTTCCTATGATACTTGCTCATCCATTGATTTTGAATTTTTACATTTTTTGGAAATGTAAAAAACATTAAATTCCTTCCATCCTTTTTGGAATTTTTTTAATTATTTTTGCAGATTGCTACACTACAAATATTTCCACCAGTCGCCTAAATCAATAAAAAAATTGAATTAAGTTATGTTTTTCCTGCATTAATCCCAATGTTACCTTTACTATATAATACAGCAGAAATAAAATCCAGTAAGACAAAACCACGTTAAATGTATCTTAACACTTGTATAAGAGTTTTGGGTCCAAGTTGTATACTAAAAATCACTCAATATTATCTATAGACATATTATATCCCAAGATATTTACATAAACTAAAGCACTAACGACATTTAACAACAAAATATATTCTCCAAACCACTTTTCCTATTTTATTTTCAGACAATTCGTAAAATTGACCCCCTGGGTGACGTCACACGTCATATTTCATTCTGTCAATGTCAGAGTTACCATGCAACCTCCCTTTTACTAACCTTGGTCCCATTTAAACATTTGATCCCAGTGAAGATAGCCTCAAATTAGCTGTCAATTAAGTTTCACAGAACGAAATATTACGTTAGCAGTGTTGCGTCCTTATATTGTATACGTTATGCTTCAAATACAAAGAGATAAAGCTTTTAAAATGTACATTTTTAATATATTATTCTATGGGCTCTGCAATTTTATACTTTATATAAAAGATTAATGAATTAATATTTGTTTCATTTAATATTAATTGTAATTAATAATTAAAATTATTTTTTGTTATTTACCCTACATTTTTCCTGGAACACTGTTCCGTTTAAAACGACATTATGCCCACACTGCTTGTCAAAATAAGTACGCGCAGATGAAATCAGCTATCTTTTAAACGGAACCAGTGCTGTTCACTGAAATTTAATCTGTTAAGGCAGCTTTACATCTAGGCTATGCAAGTCTCATGTTATGCAAGTCCGTCTTGCATGGCACATCTCTTGCCTAGCTTGACCTTTTTACATCCGAGATATTTCTGTGCAATTTTAGATCCCACTTTCATTGTTGCCAACAGAGAAAATATTTATCAATTTGAGGTTATTTTATTTTAAATAAAAAATATAATTAAGTACTAAAGTAAATAATATAATAAATAAATATACACTATTTATGGTTATTAAAAGGGTGAAGGATGTCAACCAAAGAAAAGAAAACATTATTATTGTTGAATATTGCTGTTGTAGCAACAATCATCCATAGTCAACGACTCACCCAGTCGTTTTTACATTAACTTTAGACATAGTATATCTATTTATCACCACTTAATAAACTTAATTTAAATCAAAACACAACAATACACATGTGGGTTAAGGAACGCTAAAGATAGAGATAATGTTATGTTTTATTCTGTAATCTATTATAAATTGTTATGTTTGGCAACATGAATTTTAACGATACACTGCTCGACCAGACCGACCGTCCACGATCGACCAAAATTACAAGTCTATGAAAATGTATGCGTTGACTCAGACTGGTGGACCGTCCATCACTTACAGCGACCGACCGCGATCGTCCAGTTTTGAAATTCGGACTTGTTGGAATTGACATTGACATTTAAAAATTTGTAATTAACCTATAAAATTGGATTTGTTTTTGTTTCTTTGGATTATGTAGTTTGTATATCCAATACAAAAATTAAGGTTCTATTAATTTTTTGGAAATGCTAAGGAATACTCTGGAATACTAAGTTTTTGGAAACAGGACTTGTTCATGCGATAATAATTTTGAAATTTTATAAAATCATTTAATAGAATGGGGTATAACACAAATAATTCTCCTTGTTGGTGTCTTTTTAAAAAATGTCTTAAAAAAAAACAAACTCCTACGCCTATTCGCTGTGAGCCGATGAGTAGAGGGGATTTGACAGTTTTCACCAACGCTGTTAGTGGCAGTTTTGTGCATTTAACTTGTAAACATTCAAATAATTGCGAATATGGATTTTTTAAAAAGAAAAATATATGATACATATAAAAATACTAGGTACAACAGTCATTGTAAATTTTATTCATTTCCTGTTGCCAAGCATAAAATAGTTCAAAGAGAAAAATGGATTATTGCTATCAATGAGAAAAATAAGTAAATGACCTATAATGCAAACATGATATTTGTATGGTGTAAAATTAAAAAGCTATTATATTCCGAAACATTGCGTACATGCCCTGTATCAACTAAACCTTTTCCCTTTTTTGGTGTAGCTGGTTGAAATGGGATATCATGTGATATAGACTTAAAACCAGTATAATGTTTAATATCCATTTTGATAAAATTAAAACAAATTTAAGAGGTGGAGGCCATAAAACGAAAGAAGAAGAAGAAGAATTAAAACAAATTAATATCTAAGCACTAAGGCCTACGCACACAAAAAATAACTGAGCAAAAACAGAATAAAAATGTAAAATAAAAACAAGAATTACAACGTTACAGAGGTAAAGGTAACCTAAGAATATAGACGTTTTAAGCACAGTATAAATAACAACTGTTGTTGTCTATACTGTGTTTTAAGCGTCTATAACCTTAAATATTTGCTTTAACCATTAAATATTTTCATATAAACTTCTTCTTTTTCTCAATGACCTGTTGCGTAAGTAGTCATCCAGTCGCAAGAACTTATATCTTAAATATTAAAATTATAATGAATAAAATAACAAGGCGTAATTACTTTTACTATTAATTATGTGTATTCGTTCATTAATCAGTTTACCATAATATTTCAGTTCATTATTTTGTATTTTTAAATAAATATCTATTTTTCTCGTTTTGTCCTATTTCATTTTCATTACACTGATTTTACAAGAAAAGTACAAGTTTCAAACCGCGAGAGAGCGCTACCGGCGAAACTCACAGCGAATAAAGATATCAAATAAGTGATAAATAATTTATCAGTAGAATTATTGCTGCTAATTCTATCCATAATTCAATTTTTTACAACGAACCCAATAAAATGAAATAACAAAAATGTGGTTATGTTGCTACACACTCCTGACGTCTTGATGGTCGGTCGATCGATCGTGGACGAGTAATGTGAGTTTAAAAATAAAAATAAAAAAGTTGGTTGTTTGCCGTCGGACGGTCGGTCGTGGTCGATCGAGCAATCTGATTCCTGCCTAAATTGCATGAAAAATATAACATGTTCTAATTTTTCGTCTAGCACAGGAATTGCATGGAAATAGCTCGTCGGCATGCGCAGTTCCATGATCTGTCTTGCATGGCTCTTGCCTAGCATGAAAATAGCATAATGTAAAACTGTCTTTATGCATAGAAAAATTAAGCCAATTTAATTTGTTTACGGCAACCATAGACAAAATATGCATTATTTTATTCGTACTTTTAGTTGAAGAATGTATTAAATTATTTTAAATTAAAATTAATTCAATCACAGAATAAGAAATTATTCTGTGATTTAAGTTTCTTTAAACTATTGCTAACTTCACAATAGTTTTTATTACTTGCCTATGTCACTTGCCAAAGTTAAAAAATCCGTTAATGTTGTTTTTATAGTATACTTTTTTGAAAAATACTTTTACCAGAAGACTACTTTGTAACATGTAAAAGAAATCATAAAATAATAATTGAAAGTATATATAGAATTAAGGCAATATTGTTACACTTGTATTGGTAAGTTATGTATATTTAAACTTAGTGGTTAGTGTGGAAAGTCTATTTAAAAAGTGTTATTTTAAAATTATCTCATTGTAATTAATTTACGAAATCACTTCCTTAATAGAAATCAAGAAATTTTATGATTTAAAATTAATACATAATACATTGAGTATGTAATTCAGGTTACTATACTTTGCGGCGTACCTAGTACATAAAAAAAATACATTGGCCTGTTGCAAATACTGTTCTGCTATGTAAGAATTAGTACGATATCCAAATCTTTGACCTGAAATATCCGATTCTCGAAATTATGATGATCCACATATTTTAAGATCCGGATCTTAAGTGATTTAAGATTAAGAACTGGGTCTCAGGTTCCTTAGAAGAATAATAGTTTAGTATCTACTTTTCTGTGGGAACAATTGGTTTATCTAAAAATTATTTTTAATTACTCATTTTACTTTTACTACACTGAGCCTGTACATGCATAGGTAGGGTCTTATTTATCAGTCAATTGCCTGATTTATTGTTTCATTCTTCTTCAACACTGTTTTACATGTTATTGGAAGCCTTTGAGCATTCTCTCTTTAGTTTAGCTTATTGGGATTTCTTTCAATTTGTTTCCCTTCTCTTATTTTATATTTTCTTTTGATTTGAATGTCACTTGAAATGTCATTTGAAAAATGTCACCCCTAGCACAAAATGTCTTAAATACAGGAAATATAATAAACTCAAGAAAACATATAAAGAGGAATAAGCAATGGGTGCTAGATATCAGAGAGTCAGATGTTAGAGATAATTCATAATGTTATGGACCTGATGTAATCATTTAGTGACGTTGATCTACAAATGCAACAATGATATCAGGCATTTCTAAAAACATGCAGTTCTTTTCAGTGCGTTATCATAGCCAGACGAACTAGTTTTTGCATTAGTGAAATAGCTTTAATATTTTTATTTTTTTTTGTGGACAATTGTTTTAATATTTTATCATTTTTTGGATCATTCTAAATAATAATAATAATAATCTTTATTAATAGCACATGGCTAGAAAAATATACATATAAATACATCAATTTATACCCTTAAAATTAAATCACAACGCTTTGCTAACATATATCTTACATAAATTTTTAAATTGAGCTAAGTTTCTAGAAGCCTTAATGTTTTTCGGTAATTCATTGTATTGCTTTAATCCCCTATAAAAAAGATTGTTCTGACCAAAATTAGTGTTGACCCTATTCAGATAAAAGTTATTTCTAGAACGTGTGTTGTGTTCATGTACATCTCGAATAAAGGTACAATTATTACACAAATGCACAGGTATCAGACCATTTAACATTTTATAAACAAAAATCATACTATTACATACAATTGTCTGTCTTACACTTAAAACATTTGCCATTGTTAGCATGTCAGTTCTACTAGTGTATACACTACATCCTAATATTATCCTTAAGGCTTTATTTTGTTTTTTTCTGAAGTACGTTCATTTGAGAAGCATTCATTAAAAACAGCAATGTAGAGCAAAAATAGAGATGGGGAGCAATAATCGATTTATATATGGTCAACCTAGACCAGCAACTTAAATTTTTTGACATTCTTCCCAATGCATAGATTTTTTTTGCTATTTTGTTTGTAACAAACTTAAAATGATCAACAAAACTTAAATTTTCATCTATAATACATCCCAAATATTTATACTGAACCACTCTCTCCAAAGCAATATTATTAATTTTTACATCTTTTATTATGTTATTTAATTTAAAATTTTTATTCTTTATAAGCATCATTTTTGTTTTAGTTACATTAAGACTTAAGGAATTATTATCGAGCCATTTTAATATATTACATGTCTGTTCATTTATTATATCGATTATTACATCTACCTTATCCCCTATTGCATATATCACAGTATCATCGGCAAACAACTGTACCTTACACTTTTTAACAACATCAACAATATCATTTATATACAGTATGAAAAGAGTAGGACCTAACACAGTTCCCTGTGGCACACCATACAGAGACTTCTGAGCCGATGAAATGGCACCATATTTTGTCACTTGTGTTCTATCAGTCAAATATTCTTGAAACCACTTTATAACTTTTTCACCAAAGCCATACCTTTCCATCTTTCTCAATAGCAGTTGTCTGTTTATGGTTTCAAATGCACATTTAAAGTCTAAGAAAACCACACCAATCATTTTCCCGCACTCCAGCCCACCCTTCCAGTCAAACAAAACCGTCTGCATTGCACTCTCACAGGAATTTCCTCTCCTAAACCCTGCTTGGAATTTAGTTAACACATGATTGCTTTCCAAGTACTCCACTATTTGATCATTTACACCAAAGCCATTACACCATTTAAGCCAAAAGCTTATTATAATTTTTCTCTAAAGTTGATCGTTTTCAACTTTACAATTTAAACAATTTAAAACTGGAAAAAAAAATTGAAAAATGATGATTAAAGGCTCAAAAACACACAATTATTTTTGAATCCACCAAACCTTGTTATCGTTCGATAGGATAAAACGCAAAGAAATATACAAAGCACTTTGTGAAATGGGAATTAGTAAAAAACTGATAAGAATGGTAAAAGTGAAACTCCGAAGAACAGAGAATAGGGTTAAAATAAATGGCGAAGAAATAGATAAGTTTGAGCTCAGTGAAGGGGTGCGGCAAGGAGACCCACTGTCATCGCTGTTGTTCAGTATGGTCCTCGAAGTTACCATCTGAGAAGCTGGAATCAACAGGTCAGAACTTATATATCAAAGAAAGAAAACACCAATGCTTAGCATTCGCTGACGACATTGTACTGATAGCCAGAAGTAAGCAAGAATTAAAAGAAATAATAACAAGATTAGAAATGAAAGCGAGAAAGAAAGGGATGTACATAAATGAAGAAAAGACCAAATATATAGAATGGGCAGAAAGAGATTACCTACAATAACAATATCTGACAGTAATAACAGATGAAAAAACATATAAATTTGAAGAAGTAGAAATATTCCAGTATTTAGGAGCGATATTCACGAGAGGACCAAATATGAAGGAAGAAATCCAAGCGAGAATTATGGCCGGTAACTGTTTTATTTTTGCACTAAACAATTTATTAAGAAGCAAAAACATATCTAGAAGGGCTTAGATAAGAATATATAAGACAGTAATAAGACCTATTGTATTATATGCCAGTGAAACATGGACAATGAACAAATCCGTGCAAGTCTGGGAAAGAAAAGTCCTCAGGAAAATATTTGGAGGTAAATTATGGAATGGTATATGGATAAAAAGACCAAATATGGAATTAGAGGAGATGTATGGAGAACCGAATATCGTAGGGATCATAAAGTCACAAAGACTGAGATGGTTGGGACACATCCAAAGGATGGGAAACACGAGACTGTCAAAAAGAATGCTAATTGGAGGAATAGGAGGGAAAAGGAAGAAAGGCAGACCGAAATCCAGGTGGAAGAAGGATGTTGAAAAAGACATAGAAAAACTTAAAATACCAAACTGGACAAATAAAGCAACAAACAGAAAAAAATTGAAAAGAATAGTAAACCAAGCCATGGGCCTTCTAGGCCTGGAGAGCTAAATTATATAAACCTTCTTATATCAGTTTCTGATACTTTAGTTGGTCTTATTTAATTTAAAAACATTGTTTTTCGTTGTTTGAGGCCCTTATCACAACCTAAAAATGGATTTATCTGTTTAATAAATTAAGACCACTTTTTTATGAGCGACCCCTTGAAAATTATTCTGTGGTATTTTCTTAATGTGATTATGCAAAAAATCTCATGGGAATATTTTTCCCAAGTATAAACATATTTTTCTGAATTTAAAACCAAAATCCTATTATTTTTCTATCATACATTGATTTTTTATTTATTTATTTGTCATCTAGATTCTTTTTAGTTCTTAAAAAGTTTATTTATGAGCCAAATTAGTAAAATGTAAATATTCTTCATTATTACACAGCCAAATTCTTATCAGCAGTGAAGATGCGAAGTTGTAAATTTTTATTACATCTTTCAATGTGAGATAAAATAAAAATGTGATGACTAACTGGAATGTTTAAGATTAGAGAAACAATATGTCATGTTTATTGGAAATACTGAATATCATTAGCATGTGCCAATCCTACCCTGTCGCCTAATTTCCTATAAAATTAAAATGGTAAATGTTTTTAGGGTCCATTTATTTTTTCATGCATGCATATTTACGAGTTCCACAACATTTTGAAACATCTTTACACATATTCAAAATTCTTCTCATGTCTACACCTCTAGAATTAGACCCATTAGTATTTTTTGGGAAAATAATTTTAATTATGATAAACAAACAAATGTAGAGTCTAGCTGTCGTATTCCTTAGGGCTATGGAATGTTTTAGCAAATTGGTCAAGAGCCAACAAGTTTGTTGAATGACCTATTGAATGATAAATATGCAGTCATATAGATTAGATAAGACAGGGTGATGGGCTATTGTGTATTCTGTCGTATACGCAGATGACATAGACATCATAGGTAGGTCCACAGAATCTCTGACTGAAGCATTTCGGTCATTAAGAGCATCTGCACACAGAATGGGACTAAATATAAATGTTCAAAAGACCAAATATATGTGTTGCACTAGGTCAAGCAACCCGACACCTACATCTACTTGATGACCTAGAACAGGAAGGTGTTGACACCTTCATATACTTAGGGTCGCTGCTAACCAAAGATAACTAACAACTTCAGTGAAGAAATCAAAAGAAGAATAGTGCTCGCCAATAAGTGTTACTATGGCTTAAGAACACAGATGGCCTCAAAAATGCCTAGAAAAATTAAACTGATTGTATACAAAACACTAATAAGACCAGTGCTAACATATTTCTGAGAAACTTGGACACTAACACAGAATGACCAAAAATTGCTCAAACGTTTTGAACGAAAAATACTAAGACGAATATATGGAGGCATAAAAGAACAAGGTTTGTGGTGCAGGTGTTACAATTTTGAGTTGTATAGAAGATTTGGAGAACCTGAAGTTGTAAAATTCATTAAGGTAGCACGCCTCAGATAGGTCATGTAATCAGATGAGAGGAAGATGCCATAGTCAGAAAAGTTTTTGACCGAAGAGGGCCGATCGGACAACGAAGAAGAGGAAGACCGAGATTTAGGTACCAAGACAACCTAGAAAATGATTTGAAGTCTATCGGAATTAGAGCATGGAGAAGAGGTGCCAGAGACAGGGGCGAATGGAGGATTGTTCTGAAGAAGGCTTTGGCTCATAGAGAGCTGTAACGCCACTGATGATGATGATAGATTAGATTACCTATGTTTTTTTTATAAAAAAAACAGCCAGAGTTGAAAAATTAGTATTGGTTAACTCCATCAAAGTATTGATTGCCATCAACCTTCTGTTTACAAATTAATAAGTATAACATATGAATAACTGAAATAAAGTAGATATTGATATTACGTGGTACTGATTAGTATTGCCCAAATGCAAGAACAAGATGAGACTTTGACAGTCTTGGTCTTGGTCTTGCGCCAATATACCTGGTATTGGTCTTGATATTACACTCCCGGTTTTGGTCTTGGTCTTGCAGCAAGAGTCTTGCAAGTCTTGCAGTTACCCATTAGTCTATTGCTATTTATTAAACGTTACTAGGAGGGTTTGAAGCCACGATCTAAGCGATCCCTGCCTATGCTTTAACTAACTCGGCTATCTACCATGCCCCACGGAAGTCAATCAAACATGGTTAAAACACAAAAACACCAAATTAATGGAATAAACTTGACTGTATTTTAAAGAACAATATCTGTCTATACCTTATTCCATTAAGCCGTGCAGGGCGTATAAACAACGATAAATTTAACAGATAATTGTTAAAGATGTTCCAAATGAGTCTACTCGTTCTGATAAGTAACAGTATAATTATGACACTTTATTATTTTTTTTCTTTTCTCAAATATTCGTGTTTATTGCATAGTAAATAAATTAATGTTATCACTGAATTCAAAGTAAGTGAAAAAATACTCCGATTTATAAAATTAATGAATATTTTATGCATAAATGCAAGTAACAGTTCTTCAAAAATATTTAAAAACTAACCGGAATGACCATCTTTATTTCGTCTGGCGATGTTATCGGCGGTTCATACCGGTTCGGACACGATTTAATGTTTATATTTTCCTGCACCGCTTATTGAATTTTACTATAGAAAGGGATTGATGGACCTCCACCATATATGAAATGGAAATCTTAAAAAAGATTGGTATGTGTCAAAAAATCCACATACATGTATCAAGGGCACATATTCTTTAGGTGATAAGAAAACAAACTATAATCCACTTATTAAAGCAACTTATTATATATATATATATATATATTATATATATATATATATATATATATATATATATATTTATATATATATATATATTAGCTCTACTTTTATATAAAAAACTAACTTGAATAAAATAAAGAATAGGTAAAAAAGCAATGATAATCAAAAGAAGGTATTTTAAATTAAGGAGATATCTACTTAATAAATGTATTAATTTATCAATATAAAGTAGTAGGTACATTTTTTTTTAGAAACCAGAATTTTGGTTTTTTAGGAAGAAATTTACAATGTTGTAAAATGAAGTTTAGTGATGTCGATAAAGTAACTACTACTATAAATGTCCGTTACTACTCAATACCCTTAGTGTGCGTTCATAGCGAAGCGCCGACCCTCGATCGGACCATAGGATGGTATCATATCGATTTTAGGTACAATAAATGCATTATTTTAAATGCGAGCGTTCACTGTCAGTGCTATGCTCTAGGCGAGGATACGATGGGATGGTCTCTGTAATGAACACACCCTAAGTATCTAATAACAAACTGAGAATTATAATATCGTTACTTCGTTATTCTAAATATTTCGGTATTTTGTTTTCATGGCGACATTATCTGTTATTAATTTGTCTCGTTACTTTTTAATATTAGTCGCGCTCTTTCAGCAAATTTTGTTTAACCGAATGATCTCATCGCACACTCAGCAGAAACAATGTTTAGTCTTAGGCCGATAAGATTTGTTTATTTAAATTACTCCTTACTAAATTTTAATGGGAAAAAAATTTAATTATTAAGTGGATGTCCGTAACAATAAGTGTTATATTTTTTATTATCTAAGGTGACATATTTTTAAAAAATTTCGATACGATATTACTGTCGGCGTCGTAAGGAAAGATTATTTTATGGTGGGCCGCTATTTTTAAAATCTAGACAATTAATTTCAGAGCGAAGAAGTCGTATGCTGGAAAAAAATGTACAAAATATTTTATTTTTGCATTGTGATTATGACCTCTGAGCATGTGTCAAATGTTTTTTTGTTTTAATGAATATTTTAATTCATGATTTTGATGCATGTTTATGGTATTGTTCGTAATGCTCATAAGTCCAGTTTTTCAAATTTTTTTGCGTCTCATAGAGTCTTTAAGCATATACCCGAACTATTATACTTGCTAAAACGTCACTCAGTCCTAATTGCAAGACGCAAGAGTCTCGCAGGCTTAGTCTTGTTCTTGCGTAAATCTTGCACGGTCAGTCTTGGTGTTGCTAAAATTAGGCGGCCTTGGTCTTGCAAAATGCAAGAACAAGACCAAGACCGATTTTGGGCAACACTAGTACTGATTGAAGAATATAAATAATGAAGCATCCATATTATCTTTTGAATTGGTAATTCTAAAAAAAATTTTCCTAGGTTTTTTAATTCATATTATATATTTACCGTATTTTTACATTTTTAATTTTCTTTTATTACTATATACATTTATCAGTCCTAATTTCACTTTTTTGTTAACAAATAATACGCCAATTGAACTTGTCTCTGATTTATTGTTAAATTTTTTAGTATAGTATATTGTATAATAATTATATAATAATATTATGTTTCTACTCTCTTACTAGTAAATTGTATATTACCTACTATTTGGATGCTAAGTAAATGTATCATAACAGATACTGACACGTAATGACTAGCACGTAATAAAAAAAATTACGCTTCAGTTTTATAAAAATGTGTAATATTTCATAAGCCTCGTCAGTTGGTCGAGTTACCATGGAAATGAATTTAACAGACGTTATTTTGACAGATTAAAAATTGTTAATCTGTGAGTGTAAATATAGTGATAATTAAATTTTTATTTTTATAAACGAAAATAATCGTAGAAAAAATATAGTATACAACTTGAGTTGTAAGCTTATTACATGCTTGTAAAATTACTGCGCTCGCCGCTACGCGGCTCGCGCGCAACTTTTTTACTCGCATGTAATAAGCTTCTTACAACTCTCATTATGTAATAAACTATTTTCTACTCTCTTATTTTACTAGTAAATTGTATATTACCTACCATTTGGATGCTAAGTAAATACATCAAAACAGATACTGACACGTAATGACTAGCATGTCATGAAAAAAAATTACGCTTCAGTTCTATAAAAATGTGTAATATCACATAAGCCTTGTAAGTTAGTTGGTCGAGTTACCATGGAAACGGATTAACAGACGTTATTTTGCATTATTTTGATAGATTAAAAATTATCAATCTGTCAGTATAGATATAGTGATAATTTAAATACAGATAAATAAAATGAGTTCATCGAATAGTGAAGGTGAATTTAGTAGAACACCAATCAATATTATGCAGTTAGCTGCGAACACTACCGAGAATCAATTACCAGAAAAATCTAGAGGAAGATATGCAAAGGTATATCAGCAATTTATGGATTGGCGTACAACAAATAATGTAAATTCATTTTCTGGAAACGTACTCTTGGTTTATTTTGGAGAAATCGCTAAGGCATTTAAACCATTCTCATTATGGGCAATATATTCTACGCTAAGAAGTGTTATAACTTTGAATACTAATGTTAAGATTGAAAATTACCCGAAATTGTGAGCATGGGTGTTAACACAGAAAAAAGAAATAAAATACAAATGGCTCAAATGAAATATAAGAAGAGTAAAATGCGTGGCACGAATAGATAAAGTGAGAAGTGAAACAATTCAACAAAAGTTGAATCCTGATTCAATAACACACTTTACCACATTTTACTCATGTAAGTGTTTGTTATGATCGTATCATGGTTATGACTGAAGTCCATTAATCTACTTCCATTATTGTTGTGACCATTTTCTCCGTACTTTCCAAATATAGTTGTATAAATTCATATATTTTTTCTCACTCTTCCATTGAAATTGCCTACGACAAATATTTTTCCTTTAAATGTTTCCATCGATAGTGATAATTCTTCTCAAAAAGCATCTTTTTTTCTGCTTTTGCATCTTCATTACGTCCATATATCGCTAAAATTGTTTGTATATGTGTCTTAGGTATATCTTAATTCTATTTTTAATATACGTTCTACTTATGCTTCTCAGTTATTTATTATATTAGATATAAACGTGCAAGGTTTTCTCGGCGTGTCTTTGATTTCATTCTCCCAAGAGCATGTATTTCATTTCGCATTTCAATGAGGTAACTATTCACGTTATAATGAACTTTTGGATGAGTAGAGATATCCTGATGGACCATAAATTGTAAAATATTTTGATTCCTAAAAGAGGAAGAAAACGTTTATTCAGCGGTCCCTACCTTTGCAAGGGAATAATTTTCTTACCAGTTGGCATATCATTTCGGATTTAAATTTAGGATCCATAATGCAATAGATTATTTTGTTAAATACAGTTTTTTTAAATTTTTATTCTATTTTTAAGACTTTGAAATAAACATCTACCACCTCCCGATTCTCTATTTTTCTTATCAATTCCACTCCATATAAATGAATGACCTTTCCGTATTCTCTGTTGTTTTTTTTTTCTGTTTTGGGAATTAGTATATCTAGCTTTGCTTTTTCATACTTTCCCTGTAGTCTTCTCGTAGTTTACTTATATGTTTATTATTATATTTTACTTTTAACAATTTTAATATTATTTTTTATTATTTATTTTTTAGGAAAATGATGGACATTTTAAACAATCATGTTCAGTCAAATACTTCCGACGATAAGTCCTGTATGTCGATGAAATCTCCGATAAACAGACCAATTTCTCCAAATTTTCATGAATCCTTAGAAATATATCCTGATGGTAGAGAATCATTAGGCATATTGCCACCAAATTTTGATTCAGAACCAAATTTCTTTACTTTTACAGATAGAGATTCATTAAGTTTTAAAAATATTTTGTTAGAAGACTCAGATCCTGGTAGAGAATCTCTAGGTATTTTACAAATAAATGACCTGGATGTAAATTTTGGAAATGACACAGACAAAATACCAGATATTAAGTTATCGTTTATTGATAAAGTTAATCAGGCTCATCAGGTTTTAGATACAGGTTTTCTTATTACTAGTCCATCAAAATTGTTAATATCTGCTACATCACCTAATTCAGTATTATCATTTAACAGTAACAGTTTAGAATTTCCATCTAAAATTTTTACATTAACCAGAACTGATTTTAGTAGTTCAGTTTTTTCTTCCAGCAAATCACTTTTCAATAATGCTCATATTATAAATTCCTGTGATGTAGAACAACGTAATAGGATTAACTCTCAACCTCTGCCAGCTAAAACGACACAGGCAGAAGTTGCGTTCTGGAGTACAAGGAGACCAATTAATAAAAGGGCTTCGGATATATTTTGTTGTGAACAACTGAAGTTTGATGATGACAAAGATGACATGTTTGTAAGTATTTGCAGTGTTGAGTAATACACTGCACCCCAAAATTAACGCATAATTTTAAAAACCCTTGTAAATCAAATAATTTTAATGTTTCAATTTCTGTGCCAATATATTATTGTTATCCCCGGTATATTGTAAAATCTATCGAAAGAACGGTAAAAAACGCTGATGTTTTTACCATTTTTTGCAAAAAAATTAAAAACATCCTAATTGTGCTTCATTTTATTTCGAATTTAGTTGGGTTGAATTACGTTGTGCTGAACGTTTAAAGAGGTTTTTTAAGTTTATTAAGTGTTCTTTAAAGTGAACCACCAGCAGCAACAAAATCGAAATTTTTCAGAAAGTGACTGTTTTAGAATCGTTACTCTTCGCGAAGAAGGATACACTCAAGTAGAACTCGCTGAACGTTTTAACGTCACCTAGTCAACCATTTCAAGAATGTTAACACGTTTTTTTGTTACTGTAAGTAACTCGAGAAGGCCCGGTCAATGCCGTAGAAAGGTTACAACTATTAATCAAGATCGGTTTTTCACACTTCGTACACTGCGACAAAGGTTTGTTACCAGTACTTCTCTACAAAATGAATTTTTGGATCGTTATAACTTTAGAATCAGCCAAAATACGATTAGAAGAAACTTGCCGAAAACGACCTACACCCTAGAAGGACACCAATTGGCTTATTATTGACCAGAGATCATAGAAGGCAAAGATTGCATTTTGCTCGTGAACATATTGATTGGAATAATGACGATTGGGGAAGAATATTTTGATTATGAATCCCGGTACTGTCTTTCTTCTGATGACAGGAGAAACCGAGTGTATAGAAGGCCTGGGGAACGCTACGCACAGTGTAACACCGTAGGGACTCGGTAATGGTGTGGGGTGGGATTAATTTAGAGGCTCGTACGGAATTAGTTTGAATAGATCGTGGTCGGCTTACGTGCCATTTGCACCATTTATTGAGGATAATTTTATGCTTATGCAAGATAATGCCAGACCACACACGGTAAGAATTGTGCAGCAGTAGCGTCAGGGAGTTGGAATTCCTGCCATGGATTGGCCTGCGAGAAGTCCTGACCTCAACCCAATAGAACGTGTTTGGGACATCATAGACAGACGACTACGACAACTACCTAATGCACCAAACTCAATATATGAACTGTTTTTGCGGTTGGTTGAAATTTGGGATCAAATTGATCAAGAAGAAATCAGAACGAATATTCTCAGTATGAGAGATCGTTGTCAAGCAGTAATAAATTCCAGAGGAGGCAATATTCGATACTAGCACACAGTACTAGTATTTTTTTCTATTTTAACAATTTCGTCATTAATTTATAATGTTTGTTGAGATATTTAGATTTATGATGTTATATTGTTAATTTCAATACATTTTTTTGTAAAAAAAGAAACGTTTTTTATTTAAGATGTTCTAAAACAACCATAAAGCAGAAAAGAATACACAAAATTTTTTTCAATACAACTCAAAATAAGAATTTTAAAATTATGCGTTAATTTTGGAGCGCAGTGTACTTATTTTGATTGTATTAATAACAATTTGTTTTTACCTCTAAATACACCCATCCCTATCTGCAAACTTTGCAAAAGAATAATAATTTTGGCCGCTTGATAAACTGACAACTTTTTAGGCCACAATACGTTTGATAACTTTTGTTTTATATTTTAGAACAGCTTCTGATCTAAAAGCTTAAATTTTAATAAAGTTTGTATATTACTTTTCATTATAATAATGGTTTGGTTTTGCTAGTTCTTTTAGGAGAGGGAAGAAAGTATTAATATGTCGCTACAATATTAAATGTCAGTCATTATACTATGTGTTAGTCATTATTCTATATATTATACTATCATGTCATATAGAGGAGTGGGATAACATGTCTAAGCAGTATATTTGGAAAATGTATATCATAGCATAGACGAAGCAACACCAGATATTAGCAAATTTGTTTATTGGTTTTTGAATTCTTCTTTTGTTTCTATGGCTTCATGTTATTGTTTAGTTGTCAATTGTCTAATTTCTTCTTTCTGTAATCCGCCTAATACATTGTCCATACTGCAACCACTTGACTTATGGTACACTAATTGTTTCATAATTGAAGAGGTTGTGTGACAAGTTTTGAATGACGTTCTTTATGTATCCGTAGGTGAGGGGTTAACCCCCAAACCCTGGGTGCGCCACTGTTTTCAATGAAAGTTATTGAAAATGATGACTAATATAAATCAGGATACAAAGTTAATAAAAAAAACTACTACAAACTGTTTACAATGAGTTAACACTATGCAAACCTACTCATAAATGCACTCGTTAGGTAGCGTTTTCTTCTTGCTCATTTAAAAGTTGTTTAAAAATTGTGTGATTGATCAGGAACAAAACATAGCTGCTCCTTTAAGTTTTTGATTTTTTCTTTGTACAATGATCCAAAATTCTTGTCTCGGGATACTGAATTCTTTTGGCAAAGCTGGTGATGAACCATAATCTTTGAGAAGGATGATCATTTTGAAGGGAGTGTAGGGGCCATAAGTTTCTTTAAAGAGTTACGATCCAAAAGATTCTGTTTCAAACCATTTTATTGCATTCTCTGTATTTCTGAAGTAATATTTCATGTTAATTACTGTATTTTTTCTGTTAGAAAATGCTATCATTCATCGGTACTGGTCTGGTGTGTAGATTGTTTGATATTTCCCCATTCTTCCAAAATCACGATCCGACTCCACATAGGAATGTCCCACTTCAAACTTGTGATCTATTATCTTAGAGTTTCCTGTCCCCACAAGGTATTGGTTGATCTGAGCTGAAATTAGTCCAAAGGATCAATAAATGCTCTCTTTGTTCATGAACTTCTAGTGCCCTCAGAAGACTACCAACTATTTCACTACTACCTTTGCTTGTTTGGTTTTTAGTCCCAATGCAACAAATCTTCCTATCAATCAGGAAGATTATAAAACCACATCTGACAGAGATAGAACGCCCTAGAAGTGCTTAGTTGTGGTAATGGCATGTTTTGTTGTAAATATTATATAATGTACACAGTTTTTGTTCTACTTCTTTCTATTTCTGTCAGATTTTGGTGCTGTAGGTATCGCTTTTAGAGTGCCTGAAAGACAAGTTAAACTGATTATTGAAAAAGGTCAGGCACAGGGGCTCCTAAACCAGTCTTGATACTAGCTTGGGTCAACTCCTTTACAAACAATGTATTTATACGTCGCAGTTTTTCACAGCTGACTGGGGCATGAAGTGGGTAAGATGCACACATGTTGTTTTCAAGTTGTAAGATTGTCATGTTTAGTGTGTTACGTGATATGATCAATATTTTGGCACATTTATTTTTTTATATTTTAAATATGTTTTAGTAACCTTTACGCATAAGAAATAATTTTTTTGGCGACATTGGCGATCACCATTGCGAAGGCTTCTCGATTTTCTGCCACATGGAATAATTGTCCTGCATTTGATATCTCAGTCCATTTCACGAATGTCTTTTAACCCAGAAACCTGTTTTTTTCCTACACCTATAAGGTCTTCCATTTTGCCTTTAAGGATCAGTGGTAATATCCTATATAGATTTTCCCTCACTATATGTTCCATATAAAACATTTTCCGATGTTTGACGGTCTTTAGCAATTCTCTACCTTTGTTGACCCTACTTAATACTTCCTCTTTATTTTTTCTTGCTGTCCAAGGTATCTTCAGCATCCGTATGTGAATCCACATTTCCACTGCTTCAATTCTGTTCATACTTCATAAGTTTTCTCACTTCTGCATTCTGCACTTCTGTTTCATACAAAAGTACAGATCAAATATAGCACTTAACCATTATTTGTCTTAGTTCTAATCTGAGATGATTATTGCAAAGAAATGACTTCATTTTCATAAAAGTAGTTTTAGTAATTGCTATTCTTCGTTTTATTTCTAAGTCTGGATCTAGTTGGTCCGTTGTGACAGTTCCCAAATGTGTAATTTTGTGAACTTTTTTTAACTTGAACTCCATTTAATTGAAGCTCTGCATCTGGATATGGATTACGACTAAAAACTAAAAATTTCGTTTTGTGTGAGTTTATTTTAATGCCTATTTCCTCTTCTACTTCGTCAATACGATCAAGCAGAATTTGGAGACCTTCGATATTTTCTGACAAAATCGCTGACGATATTTTCGCATATCTAATTACATTAAGCAGTTCCCCATTTATTTCGAATCCAAATGGCTGTCCCTCAAGTGCCTTTTTAAATAGCTAGTCCGAGTAAACAATAAACAATGTTGGGGACAAAATTCAACCTTTTCTGACTCCTCGTTGTATGGAGATTTCGTCACTGTAATTGTTACCAATTTTTGCGATAGCACTTTGATTGCAGTACAGACTTTTAATGACACGAACATCTTTGTCGTTCATTCCTATGTTTTTTAGCATCTGAATTAATTTTACATGCTCTACTTTATCGAATGCCATTTCAAAGTCAACTAAGCATGCAAATACATATTTTCTTTGATCACAGCATTTTTTTAATAGAATATTTAGCGCAAAAAGTGCCTCCCTAGTTCCCATAGCATTTCTAAAATCAAATTGGGTATCTTCGAGATTTTTGCATTTGAGTCTAATTTTGTTGTGGAGTATTCTTAGGAAAATCTTAAGATTGTGACTCATTAGGCTAATTAATCGATATATCGCATGTTATAACATTGTGTTTTTTAGGTATTGTAACAAAGATGGACTTAGCCAGTCTGCGGGAATCACTCCAGTGTTATATATTGCATTCAAAAGTTTTACTAGTATTTTTGTTATATTCATCTATTAGCTTCAGCAACTCATTTGGTGTATCATCTGGACCACAAGCTTTCCTAATTTTAGCATTTTTAAAGCGTGTTCTACATCTGATTTCATAATTTCTGGGCCGTCAGTACAATTTTGGAAGGATTTGGTAATGTTATTTATTTTCTGTCATCTTCAAACAACTGTGATATATAGAATCGCTATTATCTTCATTTTAACGGGTTTTTACCCACATATTTAGTGGCTACATATATGTATACCTAGGAAGTATTAACCACATTTTGCATTAACCTTGGTCCAAATTTAAATTTCATGTTCTTTTTAATTAAGTGGTTATATACTTTTTAGGACACTGATGATGGAATATGGATTCCGAAAACGTTTTGTGTAACATAGCCCGATTGGGATTTTTAAGGATTTTTAATAAAATTTTTAATTTTTATTTCTTTTACCTTCTTCTTCTTCTTATTCTTCTTCTTAAAGTGCCTATCCGTTCCGGATGTTAGCGATCATCACGGCTATCTTTACTTTGTTTACTGCAGCGCGGAACAGTTCAGTGGTAGTCGTGTTATACCACTTTCGTAAATTTTGAAGCCAGGAAATGCGTCTTCTTCCCGGTCCTCTCTTACCATTTACCTTCCCTTGGAGAATCAGCTGGAGAAGGCCATAACGTTCTTGATTTCTCATTACATGTCCTAGATATTCCAACTTTTTAGTTTTAACGGTCATGAGAATTTCACATTCTTTCCCCATTCTACGCAGGACCTCCACATTAGTAACTCTGTCAACCCAGGATATACGTAAGATGTACGGAATTCGTTTTCAAAATTTTAATTTGCAGTAAAAATAGTAAATTATAATAAAATTCTACAAGAAAATCACGTTAGAGCAATATTATGAAAATATATCTTGGAGCAAAGTCTCAGCAGTATCAAAAGGGTTAAGGGTGTTTCTTAAGGGGTAATAATAAGCAAATAATTAATATATTCCATAATAGTTATCGACGGCATTGTATATTTTTATTTCAAGATTTTATATTTGTTTTCTCTTTTAAGGTTTTAGACTTCAATAAAATCTTGAATGTTCAATATGTGTTAAACGAAGTTAATTAGACAATTTTATCTAGGAGAACACTAGTAAGGACAATTGTTTGATTTTTTTTTTGTTTTTCACATTTTCTTCCCTATTCCTATAGACTATTAAGAAATTCAGATAGACTTTTGAACATTATAGCCGCAATTTATAAAATATATTTTAATTGCTTATATCTAGTAAAGTGGTTTTATAAACATCAAAATTTATATAATTTGTATCAATATTTCAGCAGGACTCTGTATTTATTGAGGGAAACCACATTGCACAGAAATTAGCGGATGGCTCATTTTTAAATGAACGTAAGTATATTAAAAATCTAATTTATTTATGTAGGTTAGCGTCCATAGTATTTCCTCAGTTTCTTTGATAGTTAAAATGTATTCACTTTATAATTTTAGCTGTCGTACTTAATTGATATGGATGCTTAATAACATTTTAGATGCTTACTTAAGGTAATTTATGGTGTTCAGCTAACTTTGCAATTTTTAGGGCTTAAACCCTTTGATACTTACTTTTCGTGTCCAGAGCACCAACAACTTAATCTTATATTTGAAATGGTTGGCCACATGGATGGCCTGTCATTTGGCCTAAAAGTAGGTCTTGTGTAGGTCTCTCTCATAGTTGTGCATGTTAATAGATGGTGAATCATCTGAACTGCGCCACAGTCGGAAGGCCTCCTGGTATCTTTTCAGGTTACAAGTGCCAGTTCTTAGTCTGTTAAGCGCTTTCCATATCGGAATTGTGTTTAGCAGCCATTTCCTCCGAAGGGTCAAGAAGTGTCATAGTATGACATATCTGACGCTTGCCATAGTATATTCGACGCTTTTCGGTGCCTGGGGGAAGAATCTTGATTTCTTCAAAAAGCATTTCCGAGACCTTAGTCGACCTGGCTGAATTTGGTAGTCATACAAGAGGTGTTTTTGATACGACTCTTGCTTGTTTCGTTCTACGTATGACGTGACCTGTCTTTTGATGGGTGGTGGAGCGATTCTAACTATGGGGAATATCTCCTCGAAGGGTGGTGTCAGTTTCAGGCAACTCATCACATTATTCGGACTGTTTTATTAAGAGCCACGTCGACGTTTTTAGCGGGAGCAGACTTTGTCCATACTTTTTTTTCGTCTTTCATGAGGGGGGTGGCCCAAATGTTCGCAACATACCTCGGCCCTAGAAGGTGGGCTGAACGGCCTTCCTGCCTCGGTTATGCAGAATTCCTCCAGCATGGTCACGATGGTATCCAAGACCACACACAGGGGTTGTTCGGACACCTTCGCCGTCAATGCCAGAGACCTACCTTCTAAAAAACATCCTCCTCATCGGTGAATTACCGGCTGGATCGCCCTGATTGGGACGCAGTTTGTTTACACTGGTGGTCCTAATTCCGCGGCGGCTAAACATAATGCTAAGACACAGGCGCGGAGAGTGTGTGGTTGTGTTCCCCATTTTGTATTAGTTAGTTTGCGGATGATGTTATTTCTTGCGCTTACTTTTTTCTTGATCTCTTGACAATAGTATCGGTAAGACAGAGTTCTATTTAGACGAATACCGAAGTATTTTGGTGTCTGCCTGTGTTCCAGGTGACACAAAAGAGAGACAGATAGAAAACTCTTTGTGTCCGCTAGATGAAAACCGCCTTTCCTGGTTTTAAGTAGGCCACCACTCTAATTTTCGTCCATATTTTGGTGATTTGCAATATGCGAATGCGGCAATTCATTACTCGTACAAGCCATTCTACAGTTATTAGTCAAAAGTTATTTATTTGTTCGGTTCGTATTTCGTCCAGACTAGCTGCTTTATTATCTTTCATTTGGTGGGTCGTGTCTCTCATCTTCTTCCGACAAAATGAGGTACCTAGAACATCCTTTTTCGTCGAGATTTCCGGTCGCATCCGGTGTAATTTTTTTGAGCCGTACTTTATAAGCTCGGGTGAGATGTCTCCAAGTCCCGGTGCTTTCTTATTTTTGATTGCTTTTATGGCCGTTCTCATTTCCCTATCTGTTATTTTTATTTCTTGTTGTGGGGATCTGCTTCGTCGTCGCCTGTTTTCTTTTCCAATGAATTGTGGTCTTTGTTCTGTTAACAGTTCCTTGTAATAGTCCTTCCATTCTTTGTCCTGTATATTTCCCAAATTCATTTTTTCTTTTGAGTTTTGTTTTAATCCTCTCAGTATTTTCTATAACTCGGAAGTTCTTGTACCTCTATGTATGGTTCAATATTTAAGCAGGTTCTTTCCCATCGTTGTTTGTAGTCAGCTATTTTCTGTATAGTTGCTTTTTTTCTTCAATTATTTTTGTTGGTTCATTTATTTCATAATAGTGCTGTTTATTTGTTATACAGTATGGTGGAAATGAAAGGAATAAATTCGTTATTTCGTAAACCAGAGACTTTAAGGAAAACTCCTGAAATCCGTCAATTTTTATTTTTAAATAAGCTATTCGTAAGACTACATTTTTATTTTTGACGTCATCTATGTGAGCGTGATGACGTCATTGCTAAAATTTTTAAATAGAAAGGGGGATATTGTAATACATCATTTGAAAGGTCTTTTAAATACCTATTCAGCCATATCAATATGTTTGATTATTTGATGTTTGTAATTGTTTAAAAAAAATATTAAATATTTATTATTACAATAAATATTTATTAAGTATTGATATGACGTATTATTGACACCCAAAAATAAATTTTATAAAGGCCATCACTGGTAATGAAATGTCTTTTTTATCTACTTTTTACTTTAAAAAAAAACTAGTTACCTTATCAATATGAACATTGATAGTTGGACATTCAATCTTAATTATCTTTCTGTCAAGTGATTAATAGTATTATTGTAGTAAACGTAATCAAAAAGTCTTCAAACGTAATCAAAAAACTGAAACGCAAAGAATTGAAATTCTCATAATGATTGGTTATGGAGATAAAACACGTACGCAGAAAGAAGTATGTGCGTTATTTAATAATAAATACCCCCGTCGAGAACCAATTTCACAATCCACTGTAAGCAAAATTGAGAAACAATTTAGAAAAACGTGTCATGTTAAAGACCTTCCGAAAGGTAGTAGAAAACCAATATCTGAAAACCAACAAGTAGACGTTCTGTTAGCTTTTCAAGATAATCCTCATGCCAACAGTTCACGGCAAGTGGCATTAGATAATGACATGGACCATTCAACAGTTCTAAAACAGCTAAAGAAGGAAAAGTGGCATCCCTACAAAGTAAGTTTACTACAAGAACTTATGGAAGATGATTTTGATAGACGAATTGAATTTTGTGACATTATAATGGAACGAAATAACAGAGATCCGATGTTTTTAAAAAAGATTATTTTCTCTGATGAACCTACATTTCTACTAAACGGTCATGTCAATCGTCAAACTTATTGGTACGGGGCTACGGAAAATCCACACTGGATGCAAGAGTACCATACTTAATACTCGATATTTAGAATTTCTTCAAAATTTCTTGCTTCCAGAATTGAACCGGTTGTTTCCAAACAGAATTGATTTATGGCTACAGCAAGATGGTTCGCCTCCACACTATGCTGTCTTGGTACGCAACTACTTAAACAACGTCTTTAAAAATCTGTGGATAGGTCGAAGAGGAACAATAGAATTGCCGCCTAGGTCACCTGATTTGACTCCTCTTGATTTCTTTTTATGGGGATATTTAAAAGGGAAGGTGTATCAAAATAGACCACAAAATATTAATGAACTGAAAGAAAGTATACGTAATGAGGTTGTTCAAATAACTCCGGAAGTTTTAGAGAATGTTAGAGAAGAGTTCGCGGCACGCCTTTCTCATTGTATTTTAGCTGAAGGTAAACAATTTGAGCACTTAATTTAGGTTTCGTTGTATTTATTGAATAATACTTAAATATTTATTGTAATAATAAAAATTTAATTATTTTTTTAAACAATTACAAATTTTAATTACTTAGACATATTGATATAGCTGAATACGTATTTAAAGAACCTTTCAAATGATGTATTACAATACCCCCTTTCTATTCAAAAATTTTAGCAATGACGTCATCACGCTCACATAGATGACGTCAAAAATAAAAATGTATTCTTACGAATAGCTTATTTAAAAATAAAAATCGACGTGTTTCGGGATTTTTCCTTTAAGTCTCTGGTTTACGAAATAACGAATTTATTACTTTCATTTCCACCATACTGTATGTTCTTTCTCTCCAAGGGCCTCGAATGCTGCTTGTTTTATACTCGCCTTGATATGCTCGTATATTTCTTCAATGTTGCCGTATCTGAATTATATTAATTTTTGGTCGAGACGTGGTTGTACTGTTTTTAGGTCTCCTTATAATTTTTTGAAAATTATCTTTTACACAAACCGTGTTATGATAATACAAAGTTATGCATGTACAAACATTTCTGCGGTTCATTTTTATTTAAATAGATTTTGTTGTATTAACAATACATATTTTTAATTTTTTAAGATTATGAAAATGGACCCCTTGATTCTACTCCTCAACCTGAATGGCCAACTGACATGGATGACAGTGAAACACGGAATGAAGAAAATGACCATAAAGTGGATACAGGGACTGTTTTTAAAACAATTGACAAACTAGTTCCGAGCCGAAAATCACAATCTGAATCTAATGCAAAGAGCTCTAGTTCTTCCAGTTCATCTACTAGATCAAGAGAGGCTAAGGAGATGTTACAAAACTTATCTGACATTTTTAATACTACACATAAAAGTGACAAAATGAAATTAGAAGGAAGAAAATTGCTGAGTAGCTTAGCAGAACTTCTTAATAACACTCAGTCTAGCAAAGATGAAGAAGATTCAGGACATTCGTCAATCATTGATAATGATTCGGACAAGGAGAAGCCTGATATGGCAGATGGAATAGAACCAACTCAAATCTCAGGTAAGCTTGTAACCATTCTTGGAAGTTGTATTTTAAATTCGTTTATAATCGAATCTTAAATTCGATTTCCGATTAATATTCTTGTTAGTAGATGTCGCTCTAGCGTTTGTCGGTAAAATGTTAAATCTTTACTTTTATGAATGGAAAAGGTTTTATTTCGTTAGAGCTTACCATGAGTTCGCTTTAAGGAAGCCAATATGCAGAAATATGCGTATCAGCCAATGGTATAGGCTGTAAGAAATCAAACCTTAACTGTCTATTTTATTTCGTTTAAAATACTTTGTTTTACTTTGTCTAGAACAACCTCAAACAATGGAACCAACTTTAAAACCAGAAGTGAAAACCGCATCACAATTATCTCAGTCTACAAGCCTTGATAAAAAAGAGCAAAAATTAGAAAGAAGAAATTCTTCCACATCTTCGGTTAATCTTACTACTTCTAACAAACCTAGAACTAACAGTAATTCTGTGAAAAGTGCACCAAATATTGGACCATCTTTTGGAACAAAATTTAAACCAAAAATTGGAAATCCTGGACTGAAGACAGGTCCTCTAAGAGCTGTGATTCCAGTAAAAGATATGAAAAAACGTAAGAATAATATTTTATACTTTTTATAACTTTTATTTATAACAGTTTAATTTACAAAATGTTACTTTTTTTATCAAATTTTACTGTTACTTTTTGTCAATTAGGGCAAAATCATCACACCCAACCGAAGTAAGGGTAATAAGTTTCCAATTGAGTGGTTCACTAAATGCAACTTATTATTTTTATTGAGAATAAGCCACAATTTTACTTTAAAATAAATTTTATTGGGCGTTTCGATATCCACTTCGGAAATTGTTCTCAAAATACAATACATTAATAAATTAAACAAATTTTGTTTTTTGTTACTTGGTAAAATAAGTCGAGAAACTGACATCAGTTGCTGTCGAGGTCCCATAAAGACACCTTATCTCGGGTTAGCAACCCCTGGGAGTCCTGCGTTGCCAAGAAGTAAATCTTTTTAAAATAACATCATTTAAATTTGTGGACAAATATGTATTAATTAACAAAGTTAACATCATTTAAAGGGTATTTACCCTCACATTTAGTGGCTTCACTCATGTATAACTGGTAACTGCACTGATGATAGACTTAGTACGAAAACATTTTAATAAAAACGGTCTATGACGTTTTCTCAAATTTCAAATTTTGTTTATTTGAGTGACATACTAAAGTACACACATTCCTGTTATTGTTTTTCTTAATATTCAATAATTATGGAAAACTTCGATCGCTTGTCGTACAAGAGTTGTACAGTGAAAGCCAAATACAGTTGCGTTCACGTCATCATTGTGAACATTTGCAGCGTTGTCAGATGGTTCGTGAAGTATGAAAATGAACAGATAAGAACTGAAGTAAACAAAAAAGGTAAAGGTAGCAAATTTCACACTATATTAAATGGAATTTGAAAATGAGTGTTTTTTTTTCATTTGTTTTTTGTTAATTATATTCATTAATAGATTTCACAAAGTAAGGAACTCCACAATAAAAGTGGTAAGGTTATTACTGAGTTACCAAACAATAAATATAATCAAAATAAAACCACAAGCAATAAAATAAAATATTTTTTAATAATGAACATATTTTCTAAGACTAAACATAACATTAAAGAAAAAACAATATCAACGAACTAAACATTTTCTGAATCTGATTCCACATTAGTGTCACTCTCTCCCCTATTAACATTTATTACTATTGGACTAATTTCTTGACAATCAAATATTCTTTCTCTCTCATACCATTTAAATATTTCTCTTTCAGTATGATTGATAGAGTTTTTCCACATACCAGAAGTAATTATGTAAAGTGCCTCATGCCACATGTTTATGCAGTTGTTAGCGCTGTTACCATCTCTACCAATGTGCCTATTGTAATAATTTTTTGCTATGCCCCAAATTAATTTAATAGGGTTAAAGATACAATGGTAAGGAGGAAGACGCAAAATTTTGTGTCCATACCGTTCTGCTATATCGTCCACTATATACTTGGTTTATCTAAATACTATCTAAAAAAATGTTTAAAATAAATGGCATTTATATTTAAGATTATATCTGTATATTTACCGAGCAACGTTGCGCTACAGTTCTGTTTTGAAAATCATATGGAATGTTTTTTTCTGTCAACCACTCCTCAATAGTACTTTTTGACCATCCTGTATTCGGAGTTTTATGCAATAACATACTGTAATAAGGTGCATTATCAAGTACAATTAGAGAAGGATTCTCTAAGGTTTGCAGCAACTGATATTCAAACCATTTCAAGAAATTTGCCTGGTTCATTTCCCCATAATAATCACTAAGTTGAGTTTTTGAACAAAATATTGCTTTAACGCCCTCTATAAATCAGATTTCATTTCCAGCATGGAGTTAACTTATGTTATTACAACAAACCTTTTGCCATCCGTTTTAGTGGTTTTAACACTCTTTATATTTTCATTTTGCCAAGAATGACCAATGATCCCATTTTGAAATATAAAAGTTTCATCGAGAAACACGAATTGGTATATACCTTCATCCTTCGCTTCTTTATGAGTTCTTAAGAATTGTACTCTTTTACAAACAATTATAGGTAATTCCATAAGTTCTCGTCGTGGATTATCCTTCATCCACTCATACCCAAGTTCTTTGAGCAATATTTTTAAAGAAGTGGTACCACCATTAAATAATTATTTATCTTTCAGTTGGGACCACAATCATGGAACCGTTACGTGCTGTTCTAAAAGCATACATAAATAAAATTATGTTAAATGTATATTTGTTCTAATCATACTTCTCTGGTCTTCTTCTTCTTCAGCCTTAAGTAATCCAACTTTGGACATAGGCCTCCCCCAAATCAATCCAGTGTCTTCTATTTTGCGCCACTTACTTCCAGTTGTGGAATATCACCCGCCCATCTCATTTGTGGTATTCCTCTGCTTCTCTTTCCTAACCATGGTCTCCATTGTTGTATTTCGTGGTTCCATCTCTTATCCTTCAGTCGGGCATTGTATCCTGCGAAGCTCCATTTTAATTTGGCAGCATGTTCTCCTGCGTCTTTTACTTTCGTTTTGCTTCTAATCCAATTGTTTGTTATTTTTTTTGTCTATAGGTCTCACCCCGAGCATTGATCTTTCCATCGCTCTTTGTGCTTTTACTATTTTATCCATGTTAGACTTGGTGAGTGTCCACGTCTGTGAGCCATACGTGAGTATAGGGAGGATACACTGATCGTAAATTCTGGTTTTTAAATATTGTTCTATTTGAGTGCTTTTCAAGATCCAACTCAGATTTCCAAATCCTGCCCACGCTAATATTATTCTTCTGATAATTTCGACAGTTTGATTTTCTTTGTTAACTTTCATTATCTGCCCCAGATAGATGTATTCGCTTACTGTTTCTAAATTTATGTCGTTCAACGTTATTTCTCTAATGTTCGGTGTATTTTTCATTGTTTTTGTTTTTTCCAAGTTCATTTCAAGACATACTTTTTCCGAAGCTTGAAATAGTTGCGTCATCATGGTCTGTAGTTCTTCGAAATTTGTAGCGTACAATGTCATCAGCGAATATTACAATGTCATCAGCGTATCTTAAATGACTCAGTTTTCTTCCATTAAAATTTATTCCTTTATCTGTCCAGTTAATGTCTTTGAACACGTCTTCCAGTCCAAATGTGAATAGCTTTGGTACTTCTGGTACATATTGTAAATGGTATCACGAATAGAGCTTGTATTTAAAGTGTTGTATTTGTTGCTCGTTTATTAGTGCAACGCTTTTTATTTTGTGACTTGAACTGTTCATCTTTTTCTGCATTAGACATAATATGCTGCTTACTGTTCTTACACTGATTTTTAAAGCAGCAGTTACAACATTTTACAAATTTTTGTAAAGTAATGATATTTTATTCGCATATTACTTCTTGCACAGCGTTTAAGGGTAACAAAGGGCCATTATTATTCCTTTCTTCTTCCAAATAGTTAACTAATAAAGCCACGAGTTCTTTGCATCGAATATTGAGCTGTTTGGGCATTTTGACAATGATAAATAAATAAATGTTTTTCACGAGATAACCTCAAAAATCAATGATACCACGAGTACAAAAGTCACAGAACACTGATTGAAAACTCAACAAACGACGCGGCAACATGACAATATTTCTCGTAGTAACTAATACTCCGTCATTGATTGGTGGAGTTCATGAACATTTGAACACCAAATTTTACAATGGTGGACGTCTAAATTAAAAAAAAAACTATATTGTATAATATACATTATTTTGTTACAAAAGTTTTTTATTGATCGGGTTATTTTTAAAAGTGATTGTTTAGCAAACTAAAGTAACATACACTTTTCTATAGAAATGTAGCCACACATACAATAGAATTACGACCTTGGTGACGTACACGCAACTTTATTTGGCTTTTACTGTATATGGTTAATTACTGATATTGGCTAACGTAGGTGTCATGATCATTTCTAATTACTATAGGATAACGACAAATTATTGTACGAAATATGCAATATGTTTTAACCCTAAAACTACTCAACTTATTTTGGCTAAAACGTGACGTTAACACATGTCTCAGTGTAATGTGCTGTGGTCCACAGCATGTTATGTTTACAAATTTTTACCGTCGTACCAAATCGTCTATCATTATTAGTCAAAATTCCCGATCAACCCAAAATTTTACCTTTACTTTGACACTTGGACAATATCACGATCATGTATAAATATGTCTCCAACTCTTGACATACCAATCTCTCCAAAAAACCGACTTACTAGACTGAGTGAGAACTGTAAGCGTAACATACGGACTAGACCTTAATATTAAGAAAACTAAAGTCATCGTTGTCAGCCCTGCAAATTTAGATCCTGGGGCACTAATGGCAGGTAGCGAAGAGGTCCAGAGAGTCGACAGATTCACTTACCTCTGAACTACCCTTAACTCACAATGGGACTACCCTCAAGAGATTAGATCCAGAATTGAAATGGCACGGTTTACATTTATCAAATTGAGATCCTTGTTGTGCTGCACTGATCTCAGTTTGGGAACCAAGATGCGGATAGTGAGGTGCTACATTCTTCCAGTGTTACTGTATGGAGTTGAAGCCTGGACAGTGACGCAAGCCACAGAAAAGCGGATTGAAGCCTTCGAGATGTGGATCAACAGGAGGATGCTAAAAATATCGTATGTGCACCATGTCACCAATGTTGAGGTCCTACGGCGCATGAGAAAAGAAAAAGAAGTGCTTAATTTAGTGAAACAACGTAAGCTTGAGTACGTAAAATATCGAATTCTTCAACTCGTTATGCAGGGTAAAGTATTTGGCAGGAGAGGACCGGGACGCCGTCGTATCTCGTGGTTAAAAAACCTTCAACAATGGTTTGCGATGACCTCCGTGGAACTGTTTCGAAGAGCAGTCAACAAAACCATGATAGCCTTGATGATCGCCAACATCAGGACAGGGTACGGCACTGAAGAAGAAAGCCATCCGTTTTTTTTTTCTTTTTTTAACTATCGTCTGCAAAAAGTTAATGTATATTTTCATTTGCTATTAAAACAGTTTGGGTTCAGTTGTTTTAAATAGTGGAGTATTTTTATTAATTAGTTATAAACTATGCTTCGAAGACGTTTAGAGATTGTCAAAATGCAACAGATTGTGAGTTGGTTCAACGAAGGGTTAACGCAACGTGAAGTGGCTCAAATTTTAGGTTTTTTTAAGTGTTGTAAATAGAATTTGGACTCGTTATGTCCCAAATGGTGTAGCCTCATATGTTCATGGTGAAGGGCGACAACGGAATACTAACCCTTTTATTGACTGATATATGTTAATTAGTGCTAGACGGAACCCTACTTATATTGCTTCCCTCATCAACAGAACATTGCGTAACGCCACTGGAAGAATAATTTCAAACCAAACCGTTAGAAGAAGATTGCATATGACTGGCTTAAGAGAAAGAAGACTTTCATCTTTTCCAGTAATAGCCAGGGAACATCGTGGATTGAGAAGATTATGAGCCGAAGAAAACCGCAATTATGCAATCAACGAATGGAGAAACTGTTAATTTACAGATGAGTCTAGATTTCGTATACACATTTCCGTGATTGTGACAAATGCTACGATGACGGCTCAGAGATATGGAGATATCGTTTTAGAACCAATATTGTACACTTCCCGTCATATAAAACTGGTACACTTTTTTTCCCAGTGTAAACCTGGGTTCAGAAATAAATTCGTTGTTGCCGTTACAGATAACGGAATTGCACTAAATCTAAATAAAAAAATAACAATCAAAAATGTATAAACTTTAAATTACCAAAAAAAACTTAATCTAAGAAATTAAACAAGCAGAAATAGGGTTGAGTTATTATCCACAATATTTGAAGAATTTTTAAAACTTAGGGTACTGGTACAGGGAAAATTGGAATGCATCTACTGTAATTTTATACTTCAATTACCTACCGAATTCGAACAGTATTCTGTGCAACATTATACTCGAACATTATACTTTATCCTACGTATTATATACCAGAAAATATTCGTTGCGAAAAAACTCTTTTCAAAACGTAACAGTTACAATACCATATCTCATCGTAATGTTTTATTATAATAATTTGAAGTTTGTCAATATTGATTAACTGTCATTATTTCTGAATTGAAATATTGTCATAAATTTTTATAAAACACAAATCAATGTATGAGTACTTAATTGAGATGATGGAAAATTACAAAATTAATATGAGAATTTTTTAGGATGCAAGTTTAAACAAATTGAATGTGACTGACTGATCGAGAATACTCGATAATATTTTAGTTTTTAGCATGTTTTTAGTATACTCAAAACTGGCGGTCTGTCACATCCTTACTTTTAGCTGGTTTTATATAATATTTTTGTTGAACTGGCAACGGTGCCCTAGAAATCAAAATGACACATATGACAAGATCAACGTACACAAATTAAAAAACATGATTTTTGATTATAAGAGTTGTACCAGTTTTTTATGACGGGAACGGTACCATTGCGGGTGCATATGGACAACTTTGGATCACAATTTTTTAATGCAGTAATTGAGAGTATGCCTAATAGATTAAGAAGTTTAATTTGTTTATGAGGAGGTCCAACAAAATATTAGAATTATCTCGTTATTTTGGATTTTGTAGTACTATATATCTACATTCTAACTATATCCAACGAAAAAATACTATGACATCAACAAACTTTTAAAATATTTGAAATAATTATAATCCTTATCAATTGTTGAGCAGTGTCTATAGTAAAGTATACATATCTGGGACAATTGGACTATGTCTAGTATTAGACTATGTGGTAGACCTATATATCTAGTACTAGACGAATTGGGTTTAAAAATCTTACTTTAACGTTTTCGACTTGAAAAATTAGAAAATAATATACTCAGATAATTTTTTTATTGAGCTTGTAACATGGAATATTGAACTAATACATATTGTTTCGTTCTTATAACATAAGTGTAAATTGTCTTATTCGTACTAAAACTAAAAGGAAAGAAGTAAAAAAGTTATAAGTGTTAGTGTGCGTTCATAACGAGGCGCTGACCCTCGATCGGACCATAGGATGGTATTATTTTATCATCGCCACGTAAAATAAATGCATTATTTTAAATGCGAGCGTTCACTGTCAGTGTTATGCTCTAGGTGAGGATACCATGCATTGGTCTCTGTATTGAACGCGCCCTGACGGTACATTTACGATAAGTTGCTGCTCGATACTTGGTAGTACCAGATAATTGGTGTCTCGACCTGGACTGCACTAAAACAATTGGAAATCATTGAGTTAAAAACTATTTAAGGTATAAAGCCACCAATAAATAATGATGTTCTTCTAGTAAACAACACCCCATCCCACCCGAATGTAAACATCATATTAATCCTAACCATAAAAATTTAATTTTTGTCATCTTGGTTTTCGCCCGTCTTCCAATCAATAGATCAGTGCGTGATTGAATCTGAAAGAGAAGATACAAAACGAAAACGGTGTCAGCTGTTTTTAAAAGGAAAGACAACAATCTGATCGAAACTTTAGAATTCACCAATGCTTATGTAACGGCTCAAGCATGGCACGAGATTCCTGCTTCAACTGCTACAAAAATTGGTGAAAATTATAGCCTAAAGTTGCTAGGAATATAGAAATATTAAGCAGTGATACAAACGAATCTTTACTTGCAAGTTCTTTATCAGCTTCGAGAAGGTGAGAATCTAAAAAACCGACTTTTAAGAGCCAGTACTTTTTTACAAGACAAAGAAACTGTTTATTATGTACATAGTCACAACCAAAACTGCAGAAACTGTTACTAATATCGAGGATGAAGCTAAAATGTCAGTGTCAAAAATATCACATGCAGAAACTAAAATACTGTATGATACAGTTTTGTGGTACAATGAGCTGCAAAATGACTATAATATTTTCTTAAATATGAGATGTGACTGAGATGAGCTGCAAAATGACTATAATATTTTCTTAAATATGAGATGTGACTGAATATTTGTTTTATGTATTCTTTTTATCCTGTATCTTTTCCTTTTTTAAATAGATTTAGTATATTTCTATATCTATGGCTACAAGTATATTAAGAATGTATATAATGTATATAAACATAAAATATATACATAATAGGTGCATGTAAACAATTAGTAGGTACCTAGGTATGTGTGCATGTAAATCAGATAATTTTATGATTCCTCCAATTAATAGGAGGTTCGGTCTCAATGCACACTATCATCAAGAGTGTTGGAAATACCGAATATGAAATACAAAAGTAGGTACAAGACATTAACGATACTATATTTTTAACTAACTTGTGACAACGACCAATAAAATTTTCCAATTATTGCAAAAAAAGTCAAACAATATAAAATCTACAAAATCGAAAATATTAGGAGAAACAATGTCCACTTGTGATGGTTGAACAATTATGAAACATAACTTATTTGAAGAGCATCTTCTTATATAATACTGAAATATACACTTTTATTTTCTAGGTCACTCGACACCAGATCGAATTGAACAAAAAACTTTACAAATCCAGTCAAAAAGAACTAGCACTCCTATTAATGTAAGTATTTATTTAGTAATAATGACGTTACGTGGCTCTACTATTATTATTAATAAATAATATTTATAAGAATATATTCCCTTTGGATGAAGCCTATAAATTATAGTGGATAAATAAATGTTCTTCTGAAATCTTTCTATATGCTATCTTACTTCTATAACTTGTAGCTCATATAGTTTTTTATTTATTGTTTGCTACTTAATTTCTTATCAAAATTGTGTAACAAAAATTTCGATGAAGTAAAAAGGAAGTTTGGCGAAAAAAATCTGTAAAGCTAAAGAAATCGGAAAACTGTGTAAAGTTATCTTCAAAACAATGGGATACCTTATTCTCTAAAGAGTTGTTTTGAGCTGCTACCATACTATACCAGTCTCGTAGATTTTTAAGACAAGATATTCTTCTTACGACACTCCGTCTGGCCTCTATTTTGCCTTTAATTATGAGCCGCAAGATGTCATATTTTTCTCCTTATATATCCCAGATGTTGTAGTTTTCTTTCTTATTTTGTATGATAATGCGGGTAAAAATAAACATATCAGGTAATTTAAACCATTGCTACCTACATATGTAGTGCTGCTACCCATCAAAGAAACAAGACACGAATAAAAAGAAAGATATTTATTATACAATAATATAGTTACAAAAATCATCAAACATATCTGCTAAAAAACATTAAACTTTTCATCTAATCTAACCAACATCGCGGCACAAAGCTGTTATTTGGTGTCACCTAAAAACTTTCTTTTATGTGATTTTCTTGCAAAGGATTACAAAGGACGGTTCCTTTGAAGGCTCCAGCAGTAATCGGCCATCATTTGAGTGTCAAATCTCCCTTGTTACATCTATTTCATCGTTTTGATATCTTGATGGAATATTGTTTCTTAAAACAAGCAACTCAGAAGGTTCCTGTAGATGTTTTAAATTTCTTAGAGCATTTAGCTCCTCCTTAGTAAAGCGTTCAGGACGTGTTGAATCCCTTTCAAAATCACTGTCGCTTCCCTCAAATTTATTGGTCTATAGTTTGCCAGATGACATTTCAACATTATTCTTTGCCAACATTAGACCTGTCTCAGGTTGGTAAGTATTTGAATGGGTATCTGCTCATGCTGATGTGGAATAGGTCCTATTTTTTTGTTAGGCTGTGTTATTAGCTTATTGGTCTTAAAAATCAATTGGTCTGAAATCTCAACTGAATGGTGTATTAAATAAATATTACTTATACTTACGAGGTTATGTCTAGATAGAACAGGTTAGCTTATGAGCCATTTAAAATCAGGTTAAAATTGTGTGGTTATGACTGAAGCATTGTGTAGTTTTATATTTTATTACACAATCATGTAGTCGTTACTGCCTACTGTTGAACATAGGTCTCCACCATGTCTCTCGATTTCGAGATGTCATCATCCAGTTCCCAGCAATTATTGTTATGTCGTCGCTCCAACGCGTCGGTGGTCAACCTCGGCTACGTTTTGTCTGCGGTTGGCATTCTAATATTATTCTAATCTGGATGGTGTTTTGCAACAACCGTCTAACCCACATTTGTTTACAAATGAGGTTAGACGTATCAAAGTGTTGATCATAATGCATACTACATCAAGCAAAAATGATATAAGCCATATTAATACTCATGGAGGCGTTTGTGAACTAAGTTCTAAACCACATTCGTCAAATAATATGAAAACAGAAATTTGTAAAAATAGTCTAACCCATGTTTTCATTATAAATATGTGGGTTAGACGCTTGTTGCAAATCTTTTCATTGTGTGCACCAGATGCAAAATATTAAATTGAACAAATCTTTATTTTGACTTATTAAAAGACAAGAAATTTATTATTACGCTAATATCACAATTTTATTTAAATAAATAAAATTGCACCAAACTAAAGGCTTTATCTTTAATGGTAAAATACGAAAGTATATTATTTAAAACTGTGAATTTTCTGTGTTGTCAGCTCGGCAATTGATTTTTTTAAATTCCTTTTATCGCAGATAGTGTACGGAAAAGGTAACATAATATGTTTTGCGATTACTCGAATGTTGGTGCCATAAATGCCTACAAAAAATTGCATTGAACAAATAGCGAAACCAGTTGTTTATTATATAAAATATTGGGACTGTTGTTTGATAGTCAAAATTCTGGTCAGCAAAATATTGTAGGAATATGATAGGAATATTATAGGTATGATTTGGAAGGAATTGGGTTAAATACTGATTTCGAGATTGATCAAGATTAAATGAAGTAGGAATTTAATCAGTAGTAGTTACTTACTTTTACTAGTGAACTCGAATTCAAAGTTTTTTTTTGTGTATTTACCATTTCGGAGGAATAGACGGTTATTGCAAAATGACCATTTATATTTTTTACAATTTTGCAAAAACCGTTTAAGCCGCTTTAAGTTATTTTTGCAATAAACTGGTTTTACTTATTTTGCTTTTGTACGATTTTTTAGATAGCCTGTAATTATTGAAATATAAAAATGTGAAAATAAAGCCTTATTTTCTATCAGTAAATTTCTTATAGTAGGTAGACACAATATGCTCATTTACTCTGACCCATGTATATGTGGCTTAGACTATTATTGCAGAACACCATCCATCTATCTGTCGTTCGATGTTCTCACCACATAACCTATCCATCTCCATTCCATTGTAATTATGTTTCACTATACCTTTGACCTTCGGTCTTTGCCTCTTATTGTTACTGGGTATTCTATCTCTTTTAGTGATGTAATTCCAAGAATGACTCTTTCCATTGCTCTCTGTACTACTCTTGAACTTTTTGCTGTCTTTTTTTTATGTTAATGTGTTCGTATGTAATTATCGGTAACACGCATTGTTTATAAACTTTTCTCTTCAAACATATGGGTATATTACTCTTAGGCGTACCCTAGACGATCAATTATATTGCACAATATTTCGAATTGTGCAATTAATCGTCTAGGGCTAGTATTGAAGATTGCCCAACGATTGAAAGTTTGCGCGAGCTTAATTTTTATTGTGTAATATTTCTCCGTTAAATCGAAAACATTGCGCAGTTCGTATTATTGTGCAATGTAATTGAACATCTGTACAGAAAGCGCCAGTCAATCTTATTGCACAATAAATGTACTCAATATTATTGTAGGTGTGTTATTACCGTTTCTCGTAATTTTCCAAAAGTAGCCCAACTTAAACCTATTCTACGCTATATCTCGTGGGTTTGGTTGTTTTTTTCAAGTTGTATTTCGTGCCTAAGGTATTTGTACACATGTGTTTCTTTGCACTGCATTTTTTTGGAGATCAACTTCCAATGAGGCATTTAATAAATCGTCAAGCATCTGTTTTGTATCAGCGATGTTGTCGGTAATCAGAATGATGTCATTTGCGAATTTAAGGTGAATTTCGCCGTTGATATTTATACATCTATTGTCACAAGACAGTGATTTTATTGCGTATTTCAGGGCAGTTATAAAAAGTATCCTCTTGTCCTAACTCTTCTGCCTTCTTTAATTTTACCTGTTGCTTCATGAAGTTTTACAGTTGTGATGTCATTACTGTATTTATCTGTAATCTATTCTACATTGTTTCAGAGCTGCTCGTGTTGATGTTAGTTCAACCGTATTAAATACTTTATGAAAATCATTAAACATCAAGACTATGGGTCTAGTATATTCCACAGTCATTTCTATCATGACTTTAATTGCTTGAAGATGAGCATCTATCCCGTAACTTTTTCTGAAACCTGCTTGTTCTCGTAATTGATAGAAGTCCAGTTTACCTTCCAAGCTTCTGGCAATGATTTTGGTGAATAGTTATGTTATATTTATTTCTTCTTTAGTTATATCCGCCATTAGCTCTAAGGCTTGGTTGATTATCCTTTTCCGCTGATGCTGTTGACTGTCCCGTATTTGTTGACTAATTGTATATAGTTCAGAGCAGAAGTTTTTCTGCTATTTTCAGCAGTTTCTCTCTATTTGTTAATCAAAAGACTGATATGTTTTTGTACACACTTATGACAAGTCAAAAGAAAAGGTAAAAAAAGTATTTTTGAAGTGTGTATATTTTTAAATAATTCCTAGCTGAGCGCTTTCGGCTTTACAAAGCCATCATCGGAGCTATGCTACAATAAAATGTTCTTATAAGTACTAATTGGTGAAGATTTTAATTTTTTAACTTACGTCAATTTATAAATACCACTACAATGGAGAGATCTCATTTCCTTATATGTCGAAATTATGATTTTTTAGTTGTTAAAATTCTTAAAAAAACATATAAAAAACCGACACTGGACTTCACAGACACATTAAAAAATTGAAAAATTGTTTGTCATGGTACGGGTTTAAGAACCCGACCATTGATTGATGTGAGGAGGTAGACAGAATAGAACTAATGAAATCAAATGTCGGTCCTTTAAAACGATTTTTCAAAAGTGACAGTTGACAAATGTCATATATAGGAGATAGAGATTGTTTTTTAAATTTTTACAAAATTATTTAAAAGTTTGGAATTACTAATAGTCATCAAAGACTTTCTAAAAATTAAGTTTTTAAGTTTTTAAATTAAATCTTATGTGTTCATCACATCATACAGAATGACATTAGTTTGTAAATTCACAATTCATTCTGTATGGTGTGATGAACACATAAGATTTAATTTAAAAAACTTAAAAACTTAATTTTTAGAAAGTCTTTGATGACTATTAGTAATTCCAAACTATTAAATAATTTTGTAAGAATTTAAAAAACAATCTCTATTTCCTATATATGACATTTGTCAACTGTCACTTTTGAAAAATCGTTTAAAAGGACCGACATTTGATTTCATTAGTTCTATTCTGTCTACCTCCTCACATCAATCAATGGTCGGGTTCTTAAACCCGTACCATGACAAAAAAATTTTCAATTTTTTAATGTGTCTGTGAAGTCCAGTGTCGGTTTTTTATATGTTTTTTAATAATTTTAACAACTAAAAAATCATAATTTCGACATATAAGGAAATGAGATCTCTCCATTGTAGTGGTATTTATAAATTGATGTAAGTTAAAAAATTAAAATCTTCTCCAATTAGTACTTATAAGAACATTTTATTGTAGCATAGCTCCGATGATGGCTTTGTAAAGCCGAAAGCGCTCAGCTAGGAATTATTTAAAAATATACACACTTCAAAAATACTTTTTTACCTTTTCTTTTGACTTCTCTATTTGTTGTTGGGAAACCTTGGTTGTTTCAAAATCTCTCTCTCCGTTTAACAACTTACACAATATGAACCGGATATTATAATATTTTGACTATAATATTATTATAATCCCACTTGTTCCTTATAATCTGCCCAAGTTCCACATTAAACATGTTTTAGTACTAGTTTTCAAACATGAATAGCATAGTCTTTTTCCAGTCTCATAAACATGATCATCATTTACAGGTTCGCCACTCTTCACCAGAAACAATCTTCTTGTATCACTACACTCTTTCTCAAATAAAGTTGTAAGCAGCACATCAACATATTTTTCTTATCTTCGCTAGTTGGGCGAATTATAGGAATTTCTTCAATTGGGTTTTTAAAATATTGTTCCAACTTAAATCCTTTTTTATAGTTTATTTTTATGAACGAGAGAGTAATTAGCATAATTTTAACTGGTACCTCCGACCACTCCATGGGCGTGCTCAAGATTAATTGAAAAATTACTTTGAATAATTGTAAAAAATAAATGAATTATTTCAGTGTTATAAAGTGTTTTGTGCATGTAAACAAAAGTGACCTCTTTTATCACACACTATATTAGAACTGACTGGCCTACATTAAAAAGGGTTTTAAAAAATTCACATTTTTTTTTTAATTTTTAAAAATTACAAAAGAGAAAAAGAGTTTTTAAAACCGTCTAAGGTATGTTAAATAGATGAATAAAAATATTAATATAAAACTTACAGCTACTGGTTACAAATCCAAATCAGATTCAGAAGATGAACTTTCAGAACCAAGATTTATAATAACTGGCTCGATCATTTTATCAGTAATATTGTCCAGCTTCCACATTTTTTCCTCTTCTTTAATAGTGTGATTTACTGCCTTTTCCCAGTTTTCAGGTTTTACATTATTTACAGCCTCCAAAAACACTTGTTTAACATCATGAATTTTAAAAGTGGTATTTTTTCTTGAAACTTCACTCTTTATCTGTGCCCATACCAGTTCAATCGGGTTTAATTCACAATGATATGCTGGGGATCTGTCATTCCACGATTTTTGGCAATTTCATCAATTTCGTATTTTTTAAATTTTTCTTTATGAAGGGCACACAACGAATAAAGTTCCTTTCTTATAGATCCGGGATGGTACGTAATATTTTTTGAACTCAGCCAATTCTGCAAGTCTTTTTTAACCACTTGGTTGTGGGCAGTCCTTCTATAAGTCTGGAGTGATAACTTGCATTATCCATTACTAATACACAGTTCTTAGGAAGAAGATCTATCATTTGTTCGAACCATACTTGAAAGACATCAGCGTTCATGTCTTCATGGTAGTCACCGGTACGAGTTGATTCAAAAGTTAATAAACCACCTTCAACAAAACCGTCTGAACTGCCAATGTGTACTATTATCAGCCTGCGTCCCTTTCCTGATGGTGGGTTTAAACCAGTAGATAAGTTATTTACAAAAGCGTGCCTTTGACTTGTAACAGTTTCATCCTGCCAAAATTTATTTGGTGTATGACCCTCGTTGATCCATGTTTCATCGAGATAAAATATTTTTCTTTTTTGGTTTCTCATTTCCTTTATGGTTCTTAGAAAATGTCTTCTCCATATGACAATATCGCTTCTTTCTAATAAAATAGACTTACTGGGATTCTTATTCCAGCGGAAGCCTATTTCTTTTAAAAGTTTCCATAACGTACTTCGACTCATTTCTGGGTAATCCTTATCATCTCGAACTGAGACAAGAACTTTATCCAATGTTGGAAATTCTTGTCTAAAGAAGAATTCATGCACTTTCCGTCGAAGTCCTTCTTTAAAATGATATTCTATTTGAAATTTTGGTTTCCCTGGAGCATTACGTGTCATTTGAAAACTACCACATTTCTCTTCTTTAATAACTCTGTAAATCGTAGATTTCCCAACACCAAGTGTACTGCTAACTAACTCAACGGTCTCATCAACACTTTCACATAAACGTTTGTCTGTAAATGATTTAAAACAATTAAATATTAATGTTTTTTCATTAACTGTTAAAGGACCAATTTTTCGACGTTTACACGGCACTTCCAAATTTTCCATAACACTAGTATACACAATAAACTGCACCCTGCAACTGAAGTACCTACTTTTAGTGAACTGTTAAGAATTTTGAATACGCCACTTGGACCTTCCTACAAAATGGAAAAACCCACTATCACATTTTCTGTGGAATAAGTTTAGAAGGTAATTATCTAGTCAATTACTGTCGTAGATTCCTGGAATTAAAGAATTAAATGTTTGATTGTTGAAACCCTTACTTCGTGGAATGCACTCATTTCAGATAAAATAAAAAGTTTTATTTTATCTAAAGAATTAAACTTTATTTTGCAAATAGGTAGGTACTTATTAAACTTTTATTGGTTATATATAACCAATAAAATAAACATCTTACATTTCTTGCAAATTCATTAGTACCTGTTAACCTCCATCACTCCGACATTAGCAACCTTATTTAGGGATTAGTAACCCTCACAACTATTGTATTCTATTCTGCTCCAGCCTTTATACCTGGTGGTCATACTCAATTTAAAATTGTTTTCCTATATACTTCTGTAAACTTGTTGACAAATATCTGTTTTTCATTGAGTCACCCGTATCAACAGTTTAGGGATTTGCATACATAATTTATTGTTTTATTACTCTCTCATACATAAAAATACACTATAGTAATGCATACTTTTTTACACAGTTATGCTTATGAAAATAGAGAAAGAAGTTTATTGTTCGGATAATAGTTGGGGAAGATTTTAGACGCACACTTATTGTATACTTTGTTGTAGACAGTGTGCTGTTAAGATAGTTTATTGCAAATTTTTAGTTTTATATGTATGTATTAAAATTATTTGTAGTATGTAATTGATAATAATAAGTATCTAATACAATAATTCTGTTAGGAACCCCGTATAAAACCTATGGCTTCTTCAACACCTACATTAGGAAATACTGATAATCACACTAATAGTTCTCCCAAATGGATGGCACACAAATCGAAACTTATCAGGTTAGTTTTATATTATCTTGAATTTCGATGAAATTGATAACATTAATTTTTTGCAGGTCTAATTCTCTAAATGACAAAGTAATTAAAAATGGTAGGGATTTATCTGGTACTCCAAACACCTCAAAACTGAGAAGACCAAGGTACCTAATTAATAATTTAAATACTAGTTCCCAAATAAATATGTCATAAATATAAAGTAATGACGTCTATTAGCGATGAAGTTTGCAAATATATTTTAATATAGTTTTAGTTCATCTCCTGTATCATCTAAAGAAAAAACAAACACAAGTTCATCGGTTTCATCTAGATTCCAAGAGCAATACAAAATAACCAGGCGAAACAGTATGACTGAGGGAGTAGTTCCACAATTCAAGCAAAAACGCAGCAATTCTTTGGGAAAGGAAACGGGCATAATGTCATCTCTCCGTAAAGTTAGAGAAAATTTGCTCAAATCACCCTATTATGATCAAAAAGCTGGAATTTTGGTGGATGGAAATAATAAAATAGAGACCGATGTTGAAAAGAAAGTTACTTTTAAAAAATCTTTAAACAATTCAGTAAGTAGTTACAATACTTTGTAAATATTATTTTATGTTATTGTTATTCTGGTATTCCCCATTCACTACGCATATATTATAGCGGAGGTGGAAAAACTACCGTGTTTTGACTTAATTGTCAATTTTATCTTACTTTAATCATTATTTCGTCTTAAGGTTTACTTACGACATTTAACTATGACATTAAAATACGAAGAAGTTAGTACTTATTTGAGCTACAAATATATTATTTTTCCACACTATTGCCATCAACTGCATATTATTGTTTCATCGTCGATCCGGCTTGAAGGGTCAGTATTTCAATTGATGCTCCTCCTAGCGTGGGAAAAATAATTTAATGGTAGCTCAAATAAGTGCACTTGAACTAAATTTCATACAGCGATGACTAAAATGTTAACCAAGGTACAAATATTAAAAGCCCCAAATCTTGGTCCATCTCAATTGATACTCTTAATTAGATGTAACATTGCACACTCAGCAAGTAAACAACGCTTTTGGTTCTGTTTTATACAATATAATACACACGATGCTTTTTCTATCAAATTTATCGATATGAAAACACAACCTTATTCAAGAGTTTCAGAACATAAAAATTAACATAATGGGAAATTACATTAATTAGCTTAATTGCAATTGAACAAGTTAGTAAAGTTCGTGTAACCTTCTGGCTAAGGTCTACTGTTAGGGTTTTTAGGTCTTGTAAGCACCCTTAACACGACTTAACGACCACCACTGATCGCAAATTGGACTTCAACCTCCGATGCAAGATGCTTAAGTGTTACGTGTGGCCTATTCTCTTGTACGCAATGGAAGCATGGACGTTAAAGGCCAGTTCCATTAACAAACTTGAAGTGTTTGGAATGTGGTGCCTGCGTCGAATGCTTAGAATATCATGTGCGGGCAGGGCCAGAAATGAGGAAATACTCAGAAGAGCGGGCTTACAAGATAGGGAACTTTTAGTTATGTAAAAAGTAAGAAGACTGCATACTTGGACAGTAGGAGAGGTCTGGGACGTAAAAAAATGTCATGGCTGCGCAATATTCGACAATGGACAGGAATCCCACAGCTATGAAATGCTTCGCAATGCTGCTAAAAACAGAATTATTTCATCCTGACTATTTAACATCTCACCTGATAAGACGATGTACGGTGGACGCCAACGCAGAAATGCACGGCACCTTAAGAAGAAGGACGACTACTTCCGCAGCCGCGACTGATGGCTTTACGTTGCCACCGCTGATGGCTCAGTTAAATTAAAAATTCAAAATCAAAATCTATTTTATTTAAAATACTTTTTTTCTATCGCTATATACCACCACCTTATCGACAACACTTTAAAATCGCGACTGCATAAATTTTACAATAACAATAATAACAATGACATCAACACGGTAAAGAAAAACTATATGTCTCTCCCCTATATAAAAGGATTATCAGAACAAATTGCAAATCTTCTGTCTAAACATAATATTACGGTTGATCATAAAGGGCACAATCTTTTGAAAAGGAATTTTACAAGATTAAAAACAAGAACCCCTCTATTAAAAAGATCGCATGTTGTATATGAAATTCCCTGTTCGAATTGTGATCTAGTTTATATTGGACAAACCAGTCAGCTACTTAACTCAAGAATACGTTCCCACAAATATGACAAAAAAAAAATCAACCGCTCTCACAAAACATGAAAACGAAAAAAAAACATAAATTTGATTTTGAGAAAACCAAGATCCTTAAAAGTGATCCCAACAGGAAGAAGAGAGAGCTTCTAGAGTCTATACAAATAAAAAAAAATAATAACGCAATAAATGATAAAAAAGATGTCAAAAATTTGAACAAAATATATTTTAACTTAATTTAAAAACACATAAAAAGACAATCTCAGAACGCCTATGATGTCAAAATAACTGATTGTTTAAATGATAAACTAGCATCAATAAACAACACATTAGATTTAAAATACATTTTACATGTAGTGACTTAGTGGGTATGTCCTATGTTTTTAATATTATTTTAATTGTGACGTCTACCTGTTAGTACCGAATTTTTACATGCTTGAACTTTTAAAACGTATTATGTCTGTCATAAAATGTTTTTTTAGTCAATATTACTTCTTGAAAAAGGCACGGATTTCCTGCCGAAACGTCGAAAAAAATATATATAAATGTCTTAGTATCAAATTAATTTTTTATGAACATAAGCCCAAGAAAATCCACTAAAAAATATATATTAAGGTTCAAGAACTAAACTAAAATAACCACCAATATAAAATCATATTTTCAGCGAGTAGATAAAGAAAACGAAATATATTTCCCCTTGGTCTCCCCTCCACATTTTTATACACGCCCAGTAAGGAACGCTATACGATTATTTCCGATCCAGCTTAGCTTATACGTAAGAAACAGCGGCAGGGTTGTCTTATTACATATTTGAATTAAAAAATTTAATTGATTTAAAAAATTGGCGATGAGTGGTGCGGTTATATTGCCATTCAATACTGGATGATGATATTAAAAACGAAACATTAATTGACACAAATACTGGTCCAAAATTTCTTAAATCCATGAAAAATTTACAGATTCCCATTTTTATTTGACGAAATTGTAACCCAATTTTGAATAATATAAGATCATTTTGGCAACATCGCCATTCGTCGAGACGAAAAAGGTCGACAGCTATGCTATGCTATGTATTTCTTTTTGGAGGTAACTTTGTAAGTGTGAAGATAAGAAATAAATATGCCGACTGTTTATACAACAGAAGAACTGATACAAATAACAACATGGTACTTTGGGGGCAAGTCAGTACAAGAAACTATGAATTTATTTATTATGGCTTTTGAAAATAGGCCAATACCTATAGAAAAAACTATATTAGCCATTATTCATCAATTTGAAATGTTTGGCTGTACTAATGGCAGATGTAAAAAATGTTGCCCATCAAATCAACTTCGCGAAAAAAAAGTTTGTGCATTGGCTGAAGCGACGCCGTGTTCAAGTAAACAAATTGCCGATGAAGTTGATTTGAATGCAAAAACAGTGAGAAATATTTTGAAAAGAAACAACTACCATTGTTATAAAGTGCAAGCAGCTCAAGAAATATTTCCTGATAATAAATGGAAACGAATGCAATTTTGTGAAATTATGATGGAGAGATACCATGCAAATAATAATTTTTTAAAAAAGTTTTTGTTTACAGATGAGTCCTCCTTTACAATTCACAAGAAACATAATTCATCCGTTTTACGTTATTGGTCTCAGAAGAATAAGCATTTGAGTGTGTCTGTGCGTACTCAGTATCCACAAAAATTGAATGTTTGGACTGGAATTTTGGGAGGCCATATTATTGGTCCTTTTTTCATTGAAGGCAATTTAAACGCAGTCAAATATCTCCAATTACTGCAAAATCAAATTATTCCTGCACTTCAACGTCTTCAAATTAACTTTAATGAAATTTGGTTTCAACAAGGCGACTGTCATTGTCACAACGTGTCATTAGTACAGACGGTACAATAAAATGGCCCCTTCGGTCACCCGAGTTATCTCCTGTAGATTTTTATTTTTGGGGGATGCTAAAAACAAAATTGTACAGGCATGAGTTCGAGCGAGCCACCAACTTGGAGAAACTAAAGGAAAAGATAATCCAACTTAGCCAAAACATATCGGCAGATGAACTCAACGCCATGAGGAATGCTTTGTATAATAGATTTGGTTACTTGTTACAATTCGGTGGTCTGTTTGAACATTTAATTGCCGAAGAATTTTGTTCAAAATTTCTAATTGTTTGGAGTTATTTTTAATTTAAACTGTAGTGTTGGAATTATTTTTTATTTGATTTCATTTTTATAGAACACATTTTATACTAATTTTATCTTTTTTTGTTTCATTTTTATAGAACTAATTCTTATTTTCACACTTACTACCTCCAAAAAAATCTAAACGAAAATATAGTTTCAAAAGATATTATTTTGAAAATACCAAATAATATCTTATTTTTAGATAAAAAACGTAATTTTTCGTCCAGTTTAAATTTAATACAATACACCTGCTCCTTCCTAGTGCTTTACTAGTACTGACCTACTGACTGTATTTGTATTAATTTATTATGCTTTATGAAAGAACAACTTACTAGAAACCGTGATATATCCATGACATAATATCACAGAACTAGTTCTGTTCTGTAGAGATGAGCGTTGAATCACCGAACTGTTTTATTTAACCGTTTATTTGTCGTTAACGCATCTACGGTTTCTCACTGGAAAGCCAACTATGTAGTTGATGTTGTTCTAAAGCTGAAATCTTTATTGGTAATTCTTTGGATAAGGATTTATTTATTGTAAATATTCAATTAAGAAGTATTTTTCTTAGTTAAAATCATTTACCTAGTACAAGCGTAATAGTTGTATTTTCAAAAAATGCACATTTATAGAAGATGCAGCTTTTATGCTCGACTTTCTGAATTTTACAATGATCGATTATTTTTAATTTGAAATATTAACACATGGGAGTCCCCGATTCACGTTTTATATTATTCAGCAAACTAAATTTTTATTTGGAGTTGCTTTTTTGTCTAACGTAAATGTGAATTTATTCTGAGAGTACTAAATATTTACTTTATTAAATAATTGTGTGTTTAACATGCCTGCGCGTAAAGGTGTTAGTATTTTATGGCATCACTTTGAGAAAGACATTAACAGTGAAAAGGCTGTATGCAATATTTGCAAAGAAAAACTTAGTTATAAATCAACTACAGCAAATTTGAAAAGTCGTTGAAAGTATTTCAGTATATTTTTCTTTGATTCAAGAAAGCATGTTTGTTTATATAATCGCGTGTTTGAAACTACTGTTAAACAATCAATCAGTTAAATATTTTAATTAGTTTTTCAATTTGTTACTTGTTTACGAAAAGTGGTTTCGTTTCCTTAACGATAAAAACGTCAACGACTCACCTCTACTATTTTTCTCGTTACTACAGTGTTCTTACTTTAAGAACTCGACGTTGCCAAATAATTTTGTACGAAGCTTTTTTTATTGTGTTGTCATAATGCTGTTTATTATTTTTATTGGGAATAAGGCATAATGTGACTTTAAAATAAGCTTATTTTGATGTTTAGATTTCCAATTCGGAAATCGTACTTAAAATACGAAACAATAATAAATTTTATTTACATAAAACGATTTCCGAAGTGGAAATCAAAATGTTAAATTAAACTTATTGAAAAGGAAAATTTGATTATCTTAGAAACTGTTAAAATGCTAAAAAGACAACAGGTCAAATAAAACCAATAAGTTTGGCAACGTTGAACTTCTCTTTTCTTAGTTCCACTAATGCGTTTTCGACTATATAAGGGTGGACCTAATATACCTCTCTCTTTTTAAATAGGTGTTTCTCACTCCATCTCACGTAAGGTACATACCGACCATAAACTTTTACCTACATTATATATATATATATATATATATATATATATCTGTATATATAATAAATATAAAATAAATAAATTCATAACTCACTTAAAAAACTTAAAGATCATAGAGCAACCACTTGCAAAATTTTACATAATTATGATGGTTATGCTCCCAGATTTTATTGTCTACCGAAAATACATAAGCCTACATTGAGCATGAGACCTATTGTGTCATCCATTAATTCACCTAATAGTAATATTTCAAAATTTCTAACGTACAGCTTATCTAAATCTTATAATTATAACAACAACTTTAAATTGTTGATTCTTTTCACTTTAGTGAATTTATTAATAACTTTGAACTTTATCAAGGTTAAATTTTAGTGAGTTTTAATGTTGTATCTCTTTTTTATTTATAATTATTTGTTAACGGGTTTTTACCCATATATTTAGTGGCTACATTCATGTACTCCTAGACACTGATGATGGAAAATGGATTCCGAAAATGTTTTGTATAATTAGTTCGTTGGGGTTTTTTAAATATATACCTTTTATAAAGGTTTTTTAATAAAATCTCTACCTTACTTTCCTCAAGTTACTGAAAAACTTATTAAACTGTATAAACAAAAGAACATACCTGTTAAAATTGCAGTTAAGAATGCCAATACTGTTAGAAATTTGTTTTCAAAAACTAAAACACCCTTGTACCTTCTGGAACAAGTTAATGTAATATATTATATACCTTGTGCTGAGTGTGATTAGTGCTACATCGGTCAGACTGGGAGATCACTGAGAGGGCGTCTTACGACGCTCCGCAGTGATATCAACTTATCTAAGCATACTTGTGTTCTTGCCAGCATGCTATTAACACTAAACACAAAGTAGACTTTAATGAAGTTAATATTCTTGGTTCTGAACGCAATCTCGTTAAAAAGCAGTTTTTAGAAAAGTGTTCAATACTTATTATACAAAAAATCTATAGAAAGAGTGAGTAAATTTAAATACCTGGGATCGTGGCTTTTTGAAGAATGGGCATCGGACAGGGAAGTAAAATGTCGCATTGAGCAAGCTCGACAAGCTTTCGTAAAATTCAAGAAGGTACTGACTTGTTCTGAGTTCGATCTTCAACTGAGACTAAGGTTTACTAAGTGCTACGTATGGTCAGTGCTGCTATATGGCGTAGAGGGCTGGACACTCAAAACGAGGGATATAAACAGATTGGAAGCTTTCGAAATGTGGCTTTATCGCCGTATCCTAAAAATACCATGGACAGCGAAAATCACAAATATAGATGTCCTTAAAAGAATAAACCAAGAACGCCAACTTTTCGAAACCATCAAGAAAAGGAAAACAGCGTATCTAGGTCACATCATGCGAAATGAAAAATACCAGTTCCTCCAACTTATAATCGAGGGTAAAATTGAAGGCAAAAGAGGAATGGGACGCAAGAAAATGTCCTGGCTCCGAAACATAAGGCAATGGACAGGGATTAACGACATACAATCTCTGATACATATTGCAAGAAATAGAGAGTTAATGGAAAATGTGATCGCTAACATCCATTAGTGGATTTGCATCTGAAGAAGAAGAAGAAGTTCAATACTTAAACACCCTAACGCTCTTAATAAGAGAACGGGCATTAGTAACTTGAGCCAAATTTATCATGCTCTAATATTGCAGAATTAGGCTTAATATGTTATTTACTTAAAAATTGTCACCTAAGGTGTTTGCTTTACGCAATTTCTTTTCAAATAATATTCAAATATAAATAAAATAAAATAATAATTTCCTACTTTAAATTATCTCAGATTTATGCAACTTACATTTCATGGCTTATTGCCAACGTCGCTTTTGTATATTTGTATTAATTGTTTCTAATCAAATAGTTCAATACAACTTTTTTTTATAAATGATTCATAGAATTCCTATTAATTTCAGTTCCAAATGTTATGAACCTTGGACTGTTGGAAGTTTAATCAATCTTCACTTGTGGCTGGCTAACCAGTCACAACGTAGACTATTAATATATGATTTTTTGGATTGACCTCGATTGTTTGTTCTTTGTTCATCTCAACCGATCACTGGGGGGAAAATGGTGTTATCGACCACCTTTTCCTTTTATTTTTTGGTTTATACAGACAGGTTATCGACCTAATTTGTCATATTTTTTAAATAAACCGCTCTATTGTATTAGAGTTGGTTGCCCTCATTGTGCGTTGACCTCAAGGCATCTGTCTTTTTACGTTGGTGGCGTTACAACACCTGTTGCCTCCATTTCACCGGCAGCAGACTAGACTAGACTATGCTATTGTTATTTGTTTAATTAGGAATTAAAACAGTTTCATTAATTTTCAAATTTTTTTTAGATGAAATTGAAGAAAAGCAACAAAGAGAATGCTCTGTGAATGGATTTTTAAAAATATTTGTGATACGTTTGCTGCAGGCAGTTAAAATGGGTTGTGTTTTAGTTATATATTTATTATTTGTGAATTTGATGTTTATGACTATGTAATGTTTGATTTTTATAATGTATTAAAATTGTATTTTTATAACTACCTTTGTTTTCTTTAATTATCGTAATGATTATCAGAATACCGTTTGTTTTGTATTTACAAAACTTTTGCATTGTATAAAATGGAGTACATGATAAGTTCTCTTGTACAATTTATTATACAGTATGAGTATAAAGTCTATTTTCTGAGCCATAAAACTTAAATTAATAAACTTTTTGTAATTAAATTAAGCTCGCGATTGTATATCCCAATTTTAAGTGATATTATATAGCAAGTAGTATATCATTCAAAAGCTCGTGTGCCGCTCAGTGTGGTTCTACCATGGACGTATAAACACAGATGGACTCAGTTATTTACATAAAATGATGTAGTCAAAATTATTTGAATAGGTCACATTCTCAACACCTTCAACTGTTGTCACGTTTTGTTTTAAAATTTCTTATTCGCGAGTCGCTGAAAATATTACTCCGTATTTTATACTCTACAGGTGCTATCAAACCAAAATAATAATTTATTGGTTAGATTAATATATTTAATTGTAATCAAAATATAAAGTAAAAAATATAGTGTGCATTATCATTTAATAATAGCGTATAATAGATATCAATCAATTATTTTATATGTAGAAGCACTAAAAACTATTTATAAATGGCAACAGTTGTTTACATTTCTCTGTCTTATGGATCTACGTCAAACTTCAAATGCTGTTCCATGTTTAATTACTTTTTAGTAAAAGTTGTTTTTCGATATTTTGGCTGTATTGTGAGTGATATTTGTGAAAAGTGAAATAAAATAAACGAAATATTTACATTCCGATCTCTCATTTCATTTGTAAGTACATACAATTTACATTATTTAAGATGAGGAAATGAGGAAGCGTGCTTGTTTACATTTTAATAGGCGTACCATTGGGTTTATTCATGTTCATTAATGTATTGAATAAGATATAAGTTCATGAAATTAGTAGAAATTTTTAAATTGTAAGTAGACAACATCTGATTAAAAAAGATCTATTTAGTACCTTTTTAATGAATGAAAAGTGAAATGAATAAAACTCATTTATTTTTCCATGTAGGTTTCCAAATAATATTGACGATCGAACTATTTTGGTAGCACATTTAGGAGAAAACATAAAGATTTTTTATTGTAGCATTATTTTGATACCTATTAAAAATTAACTAGAATTCAACTATATTTTATTGTATTAATTTTAAAGCAAATAAAATTGTATTTTAATTTTTCTATAAAGACGTGATTTGTTAATAGTTAAACTCTCGTTTTTTAAAAATTCTTTGAACGTGTTTTTATACATTATTACTACTTCCAATTTTTAAAATCTGAATAATTACCCGCGAGTAATAATTCAAGCACGCTTATGCTCATTGCGGAAGCATCACATTCTATCGAAGCTTCAAAACATTGTGTGTTAAAGGTATCTTATTGCTGTGTCCATCTATGTTTATACGTCCATGGGTTCTACATTTTTTTCTAACTCTAACTCTAACCTTCTAACCCTATGGGATTACCCCATCTAATTTGACAGTCTTTAGTTTTTATGTCAAGCGCTTAATTTATTTTTTCGGGTTTTTGCTTTCTGATAAAATTAAATTATTTACTTATTGATATTTTGTCAAAAATATGATGTCATAGACATTTCACGTAAATGAAAATATACGGTATAGTCGGTTATATTGACGGTCGGTTCGCTAATACCATTCCCATTAATCTAGTGAATTTAATAATTATTTTTCTTCGAGGTTAGTCACTTTTTGACAGACTTGAAGTAGCTGGAAATTACTATACAATTAAGCACACATTCTCAACCAATATTAATAGTAAACTAACGTGCCTCAATAAAATAGAATTTTAAAACGAATTACTGACAATCAATATTTATTGATTTGTACCACATAATGTATTGATAACAAATAATAAAAATTTTTATTGTACAAAATAAAAATATGTTGAAATAAATTCCACAAAATTAGGCAGTCAATCAGAAAAGGCTAAGACAACGCTACATACTTCATTGTTGTTGACATTTTCCTAGGATGGAACCAAAATAAACCTTTGTTTTGTTATAGTTTATTTTTATGAACGAGAGAGTAATTAGCATAATTTTAACTGGTATCTCCGACCACTCCATGGGCGTGCTCAAGATTAATTGAAAAATTACTTTAAATAATTGTAAAAAATAAATGAATTATTTCAGTGTTATAAAGTGTTATGTGTATGTAAACAAAAGTGACCTCTTTTATCACACACTATATTAGAACTGACTGGCCTACATTAAAAAGGGTTTTAAAAAATTCACATTTTTTTTAATTTTTAAAAATTACAAAAGAGAAAAAGAGTTTTTAAAACCGTCTAAGGTATGTTAAATAGATGAATAAAAATATTAATATAAAACTTACAGCTACTGGTTACCAAGATTTATAATAACTGGCTCGATCATTTTATCAGTAATATTGTCCAGCTTCCAGATTTTTTCCTCTTCTTTAATAGTGTGATTTACTGCCTTTTCCCAGTTTTCAGATTTTACATTATTTACGGCCTCCAAAAACAACTGTTTATCATCATGAATTTTAAAAGTGGTATACCAGCCATCGGCGTTTACACGGCACTTCCAAATTTTCCATAACACTAGTATACACAATAAACTGCACCTTGCAACTGAAGTACCTACTTTTAGTGAACTTTTAAGAATTTTGAATATGCCACTTGGACCTTCCTACAAAATGGAAAAACCCACTATCACATTTTCTGTGAAATAAGTTTAGAAGGTAATTATCTAGTCAATTACTGTCGTAGATTCCTGGAATTAAAGAATTAAATGTTTGATTGTTGAAACCCTTACTTCGTGGAATGCACTCATTTCAGATAAAATAAAAAGTTTTATTTTATCTAAAGAATTAAACTTTATTTTGCAAATAGGTAGGTACTTATTAAACTTTTATTGGTTATATATAACCAATAAAATAAACATCTTACATTTCTTGCAAATTCATTAGTACCTGTTAACCTCCATCACTCCGACACTAGCAACCTTATTTAGGGATTAGTAACCCTCACAACTATTGTATTCTATTCTGCTCCAGCCTTTATACCTGGTGGTCATACTCAATTTAAAATTGTTTTCCTTTATACTTCTGTAAACTTGTTGACAAATATCTGTTTTTCATTGAGTCACCCGTATCAACAGTTTAGGGATTTGCATACATAATTTATTGTTTTATTAATCTCTCATACATAAAAATACACTATAGCTTACAAAATAAGTCTATGGTACTAAGGCAGAACCAGATATATATGTCTTAATAATTAATTATTCAGGAAACCAATTTTGAAGTTTGCAAGGTCATTGTAATTATGATTTGCTTTATTTTACTATTTTGATGAAAGACAATGTGTGTAAGAAATATTCTTTTAAGAATTTTGTTAATTTTGTAATTTTTGGAGAAAATTTACGATATATCAGTTTATACCTTCGTAGGTATTGACTGGCCAGTTGGTTGTCAAAACCAGTGCCAATAAAACACACACACATACCTTCGTAGGTTTATTATTACAACCTATCTACTTTGCTACTATACTGTGATAAACTGCCCACAATATTAATTGATTGTGTGAAATTATAAAAATAAAACATTTTACAATAAATTTTTCAATATTTTATTTATAAAAAAATAATAAAACAGAACACATTAGTTGTATTCCTCGTGTTACAATACATTTTTCAATATTTTATTCATCAAAAAATAATAATAAAAAAACATATTAATCTTCTTCCTCATTATCAAGAAGCTCTGGCACGTTGATGCTGTCGTTGAGACTCAAATAAAAATTACGACAGTCGGGGTGAATTATCGGCAGAAGACCTAGTAGGTCCTTCTTTTTTAGGGGTTAATGGGCCGTCGTAACATTTTGTCAAAAAAGGGGATGGCCGCCTGCCACGTCTTGATCGCCGTAAGTCGAGTGTTCGAAAATTGTCATCATCAAGTAGTGAGGTTGTAAATTGAACAAGGCCGAAAGTTTTCTCGTACCTTAACCATTTAATTTAGAGTCAGTTCACTTTATATCCATTTGTATCAATATTTCTGCGAATAAAATGCTCCTGAACAATGCTAGAAAAGAACATAAAGTCGTTTTGGGTCATTTCATGAACCTCGAATGGTTTTTTACCTCTCATTGTACGGACAAACTGATACCAGTGCCTAGGCACCATAATCTGGATCTAGGTGATTTTTTTACCTCTTTCGATACGAGCATGATCCACGTCGCATTCAAGATGCGTATGTCCAGGTAACAAGAACTTCTGATCTATGCAGTTGACGTGATTGCTGTTGCTGACAAACATTGAAAACATGCAACCCATATTGACGTTTCTATTTTGTTCACCGCATGTATCTGAATAGGTAACAACGTGGGTAACATTATCGGGCAAACTTTGAAGTTTTTTGAGAACACAAGATGCAATATCCTCGGATCCCATTTTCCCTACTGCTTCGTGCCACATGTAGCAGTAAGTGGTACCTTCACCTGACACAAAGTCTCTAATGGTTAAATTATATGTTGATAGAAGACGTTTATAAAAGGAGACATTGGCTGTCAATGAAGGCGTGTCCAGGACTTGCTTTAAGTCAAACACTAAAACCCTCATTGATGAATCTTGCTTAGCCTTTTCTTCGTCCATGTCTTTGAATTCGTATCCTACATCAGCCATATCTTTGTGTTTATTATGTTCCATGGTTAATCGATTTTTCTCATCTGGATCTACGGCACACTTTATTTTCATAATATATGCATCGCAGGTTTTGCACGTATCAACATGCGGTTGTTTGAATGCGTACCTTGTTGACTTAAAACACCTCTCTAAAGAGATCATATGAGGCTGCATTTTGATGTTCTTTTTTAAATTTATTATAGAGTATACGAATATTTAAGTGTCTCTGAAGATACTTCTTCTGGAAATATCTTCGAGAATAATGACTATCACACTTGCGGGCGTCAACTTTTTTGTTTTTTGGCTCATGGCGACC